CAGGACGGTGTGAAGAGTGATACCTCAGCCTGCCTTAGGGTTAGATCCTCAGCCAGTGTCGGTCAGCAGTATCACAGGTCAGCACCATCATGAGAGAGGCCCTCACATCTCAAATACTGTGTTCAGTTTTAATAGTGGGCCCCTCACTATAAAAAGGACATTGAGGCGCTGAAGTGTGTACACAAAAGAGCAACAAAGCTGGTGAAGGGTCTGGAGAACAAGAATTATGAGGAGCAGCTGAGGGAGCTGGGATTGTTTAGTTTGGAGAAGAGGAGACTAAGTGGAGACCTTATAATTCTCTACAGCTCCCTGGAAGGAGGTTGTAGAGAGGTGGGTGTTGGTCTCTTCCATGTAACTAGTGATGGGACAAGAGGAAATGGCCTCAGGTTGCACCAGGGGAGGCTTAGATTGGATACTAGGAAAAGTTTCTTTACTGAAAGAGCGATCAAACACTGGAACAGGCTGCCCAGGGAGTCACCATCCCTGGAGGTGTTCAAAAAATGTGTAGATGTAGCACTTCAGGACATGGTGGTGTTGGGTTGACGGTTGGACTTAATGATCTTAAAGGTCTTTTCCAACCTTAATGACTCTGTGATTCTACGATCTGAACTCGTTGCCTCAAATACCATGATTTCAGATGGTGTTCATGCCCATGCTCATTTCTAATAATAGTCCATAGCCCTCCCATCCCTGATCTTTTTCTACTGTTTTCTGTACTCTTCTTGCAAACTCCGCTCTCCCAGGGCTGCAAATACTTCCCAGGCCAAGGGCTTTTTTTGGAGTTGGGTTTCTTTTGTAGCAGGAGAGGGTCATGGAGGTAGCCCTGTAAGAAACTTCTAGAAGCTCCTCTGGCTCCAATTTCTCCCCGGTCTGACCCAGGTCTTACCACACGGCCCCTCTGTGAGTGGTGGCTTTAAGAGGGGCACAGCCAGGGCCCATCCTCTCCTGACTCAGTCCCAGCCCCAACTTGAGCTGAAGCCAGGCTGTAGCTCCAGCTCCAGAGCCAGGAACTCTTCAGGAAGCAGCAGAAGAAATCTGGAACGGGATGTGAGAAGAACAACTGTGCAGACATCAAGGTCAGTGAAGGAAAAGAAAGGAGGGCGGACAAGGGGGTGCACCAGAGCAGAGGTTCCTCTGCAGCCCGTGGTGAGGGGACAGGGTGATGGCCTGCAGCCCATGGAGGTTCAGTGATGGAGCAGAGACCCACATGAGAAGGTGGCTCCACGGGCAATGTGTGCTGGAGCAGTCAGTGGGAAGGACTGCACCACAAGGAAAGGAGTCCCACACTGCAGCAGTTCATGAGGAAAGAAACCTGCAGCCGTATACAGACCCACAGAGAAGTTTATAGAAGTCTTGTCTCCTGTGACAGTGGTGCCATGGAGAAGCAGAGGAAGAGTGCGAGGAGGCCTCCCTGCCTCCTTTTTTGCTGTTAGCTGTGTCTTTGCGTGTCCTTCTGGCCTTCCTTGTGTTTGTGCCTTGGCTTGCAGTGCCCACCCTACTGTAAATACCTTCTAGTTTTGAAAACTCTGATCTTGTAGGCATTGGAAAGCTATCTGGGGAGCAGAGGGCTGTCATTTAGGCTGTTTGTGGAGACCAAAGGCTCCTCTGCCTTCCTCCTGGGAAAATCACAAAAGCACTGAAGACAAGGGAGAGCATGACCTTGGCAGTAATCAACAGACGAAGACGCCAGTTGCATGCTCCTTGTCTGAGCTAAGGATGACAGTGGGAAATGTGGATTGAGGGGAATTGGAGTTGCCCATTCTAGAGTTGTTTTGGTCTTGTTTGTGTCTTTGGGAATGGCAGCAGAAGAATATTTGTGCTTTCTGTGCCATAGTGGGTGAAATCGGGGTCCTTGCCTCCTCTTCTCCATCCATCTGAGCATCTCTCAGTGCTGGAACGCATTCCCCTACCCCTGACACAGCCCTGAACCATCCAAATCTCTCAATGGAGGAAATGACAGCTATTTATAATTAAGGATTGACAAAAATGTTGCTAGTGTCAAGGGAACGACAGGCGACAGCCAGAAAAACATCATGTCTCCAGAAGAGGGGCGGCGGGAATATCCCTCTGAATAGGGCTGACATCAGCTCTCGGAATTTGGGCAGCCTGGAAGGGTTTGGGGCTATTTTTCCAAGATATCATAGGTCAGGAATCAACATTATTTTTAAGTCTGTGTCCCCCGAGCAGCTCTGGTGCATGAAGGAGACTTTCTTTCCCCCTTCCCCCTCCTTTATGCTCCATTTCTATGAATTTTTTGCTTTTCTGCCTTCCGAGTCATGCCACAAATATGTCCTTCAGGTTTGTTTATTCTTCTCCCTATCTTTTTCTCCCGGCCTGCTCCCGTCTTGCTTGGGTTGAAGGGATGGCGTCAGCGTGGCGCGTGTCTGGGATGCTCAGGCGCGACATCACAGAGAAGAGATCATGTTCTCCTAATTTGCCGTTTCCGGTTGGGAGAGTTTTTCTCTCCACAAGCTGATGAGGCTGGGTAAAGTGTTCTGGGAATGCTGCTTTGTGGTGGGAGATCTTGGGGCCTGGTGAAGACAAGCTGGTCATCTCATCTCACCATTAAATGCTGCCATGTAGTCTAGCCAAAACTTTCTGAAGTGACTGAAGTTTCAGAGCTGCTTTGTCGCTGGGAAGGTGGGTGAGATGTCCCCAGCCCAGGATGGCCTACTGGGGCTGACTGGTAGGGGAGAGGCAGTCAGCAGGTCCTGATTATCTGGCACCTACCAAGTCAGCAATGGCTTCTGAAAGTCTCTCCTATTTCAGATCCAGGGAAGTGGACGCCCTTGGGTGCATTTAGTGGCCAGCCCAGCCCTAAACCACAACACAAGCTCTGCTCCACATGCCATCCTGCTCTAGTCTACTTCTGGAATCCTATTTCTCTATTTTTTCACTTTTTCCTCCTTCTCTTTCATTTGCTGTAGTGACTTCTCTCTTTTAGACAAATCTGTTGGTATAACAACCTGACGAGAGAACTTGCAATCTCAGTGTATTTGCACATCTCTTCTGTTCCCTTCTCACACCACATCTCAAATGAGAAGATGCCTTTTTGCCCTTAGACCATGCTCAGCTTTTTGTCCTTCCTTTCATAATTCATTGCATTGAGGAGTGCACTAATGGACACTGCTTTTACAGAAGCTGCTCATGCAAATATAGCTGGTGTGCCTTTATGGCTAGTCCAGTGTAAAGAAACGATCGCGTTCCCTTCAAAATCTCTCTGCGCAGCTCGAAGATGCCAATTGCTCCTGGAAGCATGGGAATAAGTGAAATGCTTTCCACCACCTTAATGTTGCTGTTGGCCTTATGCTGCAGGTTTAGTCATTCTTATGACATATTTCCACAATGGTGCATTTCCATCATCATTCCACAGTGATGTATTTGAAGCCTTTCCATGAGTATTTTCCCTGCTCAGAATCTCTTAAATTAATGGCTTCATAAACCGTGGCTCAGGGTCTTCAGATGTTGAAGACTTAAAGACAAGTCTTAGACACCTAAAGACAATGTCTTCTAGGGCTACCTGTCCTAATGCTGTCTCAGTCCATGAGGTTAATGGCACCGATGGTGGAAATGGTAATATTTTATTTGAAAGAGTATCTGGCATTCTCAGCACAGCCCAAGGCCCTACAATCCCACTGCTATTATTATTGGAATTATTATTGTTATTACTGAGTTAGATCCTGATTGTTTTACAGAGCTGAGGACATGAACTCCCTAAAGATCAGTGCTGGGACTGTTGGTGTACCAGTAAATGCAATGTAGACCTCTGACCTGTGCAGAAACAACCACGCAGAGGGGAGAGCGAAACCTAAATTTCCTGACTGCTGTTTTTTTTCTCTCCAAGTGCTGAGAGATGTGCCACGTTGTAAGAATAATTTCGTGGGCAGCCAGACATCCCCACGAGTGTTACCGCTCTGCTGCGATGCCTCTTGCCTACCCACCTCTTCCAGCCCATGACCTTTCTGTGCCCTTTAGAAATGAATGTCTTGGGTATCCCCATTCCTGTATTTTTTTCTTTTCCTGCAACTCTTTATTCCCAGCTCTGGAGATGGGAGGAGAGACAGCCAGCCATGTTGTCAGAAGGCTTTCCCCACTAAACATGCCCTTGGATGGATCTTCTCCAAGGTCTGTTTTGAGCAGAGCTGGAAGAGATTTCTTGGAGCAAACTCTGAGATACCTCTTGATTGTGCTCTTCCTTATACGGTCGGGATGAGGTGTTATGTGCCTGTGCTCTGCAGGGACCCCTTGTTCTTACCATGTGCTGCTACCTCTGCATACCAGTTGTCCTAGGGAAAAGGATAGAGTGGAGGGGCTGTGGTCATGAGCTTCTCCAGACAGACTGGAGAAGCTGGGCAGGAGACTTCTTGTCCCCAGATGGCAGATGCTCTCTGCTCCAAAGAATAAGATTTGATGTCCATTGCTAACCTGACCTGTATCATGGACAACTGCTCAAAACCTAGTTGCAACCAGCTGGAGTTCTGGATTCCTTTCTCTCTCCTTGCACCTTGAGGAAAACCCACTTTCCTCCCATCCAATTCCATTTTTCTGATGCCAGTCCCCTTCTATTTACCCTAGAAGGACTGACCTTTGTATTTTCTTTCTTCTCTCATAGTTTCTTTCTCCATTTTATCTCCTTTTATCCTATTCTCTGGGATCTCTTCCGTCCCCGTTGCTGGAAAACCTTACCTAAAAGTAAAACTCAGCTACGAAGCTACTGTAATTAGTAAAACTTCTTCAGATTTGCACGACTGCCTCACACCCAAACCTCTCACTAGCAGAACTTGCACCTTATGGAGCAGAATTAGTGGTGTCATGGTACGCCACTGTTGAAACTTGCTGAATTTTGCCATGCTTTACCAAATGCTGTTGGTTTCAGAAAGCTGAGGATGGGCTCTCCAGGTCTGCTGCGCCCTTTCCAAGACATCTATGGGTGGTTCCTGCTTTTCCTCTTTGCTCTGTTGAAGTCTATGCTGACTGTCTCCTCTTCCTTGTCCTTGCAGGGCATACATGAGTGTGAAGGAGCTGAAGGAGGCACTGCAGCTGAACAGCACCCATTTCCTCAATGTTTACTTTGCCAGTTCAGTGAGGGAAGAGTTGGCTGGTGCTGCCACTTGGCCATGGGATAAAGAGGCCCTTAGTCACCTGGGTAAGTAAGCTACCCCACTCACAGGATCTCAAGGTTGGTTGTTTTCCTCTCTCTTGATTGGCTTGGCAAAAAGAGGAAGCCGTGATTTGGCTCAAAGTTGAGGATGTTTAATAAGAAGTTCATGATAACAGGTGTACCAATAGCTGTTGCCGTAAGGAAAGGAGCTACCTGTTCCCCATGTCCATGTGGATAAGGTGATGAGGTTACACCCTGACAAGGGACATTCAGGCTGTTATGAGAAACTTTTAATGTTGAGGGCAGTGAGAAACTGAGACAGACAGCTTGGGCAGAGCTGCAAGTTCACCATCAGGTGAACCCAGGCTCTGGGGAGGGAGTTTAGACTCTCATTTGGCTGCTCTGGGACCTTCCAGGTCTCTCTTCCAGGATTCTTGCAATGGTAAACTTCACTTTGCAGCAGGTAGTGACAAACAGACAAACCAGGAGTGGCAGTGATTTCAAAGCTGAGACTCCAGATGTGAGCAACCCCAGAGCTGACCAGGCAGCAAGCAGTGGCCACTTCCAAATCCAGCTGCAAATGTGAGGATGACTATCAAATTAAACCATGTTTCTGTAACTTGGCTTACTACCTGCTGGAGGCAAGATTCTCCTTGGCTTCAGTGAATTCAAGGCAGACCCTTAAGGTCATCAGTCCTGGCAGGCTACAAAACAGCCAAAACAGCAACTGCTTCACTTGAATGCAAACGTACTGTGTGTTTTCTCGTATTTCTGCTGTCTCTCTTTCCTGCCTCTCCCCCCACCTCTTCCATCTCGGACTTTTCCAGCAAAGCCCTTTACACTTTGCAGTCAAAACATCTACAGTGTTTCTCAATAAGTGACTGGAAATAATTACTCCTGACACCTGCACAGCAGACCTAGGCCTTCTGCTTTTACAAGCGCGTGATGTTCAACCCTTAAAAGTTTTACACTGCTGTTAAAGACCTGTTTTAAAGCTCTTTTCTGCCAGCTTCCCTCCTTCAATGAGTTTCAGGACTGTTTTTTCAATAGTGTTTTGATGCTGTTGCTTGTTGAGGAAGGCAGATCTTTATGAAATTTATTCCTTTGGCTTCCAGAAATCACTTCCAAGGCTCAGCTTGGCAATCATCTTACTACGGCAAGTGCTTCAGCCTCACATGTTCTCTTCAGACCCCTCCCTATGTCTCACAAGGACTTGTATGGAAGGGTAATCAGGGTGACTGGTTTCATCAAAAGCTTGCATTTAGCTCTGGTCTGAGAGCTCTGTGTCCAGTCAAGGACACGAGAGGTGGCACCATCTGGAAATGTTGGATCAGGGCTGTACCGCAGAGGTTCAGGGGAAAAGAGGTGTTGTCTTGGCTCTGGTGCCAGAACTGTGAAGTATGGAGTTGGATCTGAGCTTCTCTGAGGCTCTGGCACAGACTGAACACCTTGGTTCAAGACTGTCCTTGGTTTTAGATTTAATGAGCTTGGGAGGGCGGGTGGTGGACCGCGTTCTCTGTAAACAGTAGGTTTCACCGCATCATTAAGTGTTTTGTACCGTGCTCAATGTATAATATTGCCTAGCACAGAAGAACCTTAGAACTGAGCAGATGGTGAATGCACAGCTTCTGACAAAACCTCTCGCAAGAGGCTACTGGAGAATCTGAGTATATGAATCTCAGCATATGTGAATGTAAAGCAGTGAAGAAAGAGCAAGGAAAAACATGGAAGGAGTGAATAGTTTGAGAAAAATTCCTGAGCTTTAAAGACCTAACAGTGGCCAGGGGTGGAGATCTTCACACAAAAGAGGGGTCTCTCTCCAAGAAGACAGACTCCTTCCCTTGCACTGAATCTTGCTATCTCCTCTCTACCCTGACCTTAATATTTGAAGGTCAGCACACAGGCTCTGCTCCCCCCATGCCACTGTCTGCTCCCCTGGAGCAGAAATGCCATCCTGATTTTTCACTATGCACGTGCAGACCCACTTCTGCTTTCATTATTCTACTGAATCAAATTCGTTCGTTGAGTTTGACTCGACTTCTCCAAGAAGCTAACTTGCCTCTTGGCTCCAGGGACTCTTGGTCAGAGTTTGTTCTCTGTCTGTCTGTCTGAACTGGACTTTCTTAGATGTTTTCAAGAGAAGTACCATGAGAATTTTCCTTTTCAACTGCCTTCCCTTCTTCTATTTTAACACTTCCTCTCATGCCAAAATTCACTAAACATACAGTTTCCAAACCATTCTCCATCAGTCCTTCTCTAGGTGTTTTTTAAATCTGCCACCTGGTGTTTGAACTCCTTAGAAACCATTCTTTCATGACCTCTGAGTATGTCTCTTAAAAAGAGGGTCCTCCTCACCTTACTGTTGGCATCTTCACCTTCTGGAAGTCTTCAGTGAACTTTGTTTTTCATCCCCTTCTCTTCACCTATGCTTTTTTGGGCTACCAGAAATTAAGGGACCATTCCTGTGCTGATGACTTACAGATGTATTGCTCTCCTCCGGATTGTTTTCCTGAGGAAATCTGAATTTCAGGCAGCCTTCCTGAAGTTCGAGGGATGGTTCACCATTTTAGACCAGTAATGATACCAACCAACAGCAATGACATTCAGAGATAATTACTGACTTGGAGAGGGTGAACTGGCCTGTGACACTTCTATAGACAGTATTTTGGCTGCTGTGGCACTCCTAGACAAAGAGCTAGTGGCAGAGGTAGAAGATCTTTGATCTGTTTGCGCCGCTCCCTCTGACCGTACTGTCTGTCTCAGTCTTTCCACCGTAATCACAGTGGCTTCCTCTCAAATTCAGAGCTCTTGATGGGAGTCTGGAATGAATTTTCTGAGAATGTAGAAGTAAATCTTTTTAACTACAAAACACAAGACGTCGAAGCACGCCTATGCTATAAAAAACTTAGCTTTCTGCCGTGGAAAGCCTTGCCTCAAAAACCTTAGCAATGTAATAATGTAGACACTTTAAACTTCCTGTGTAGCTGCATGTGAGCTGTATTTGCATGAACATGGTCGAAAGGCAAGGGAATTGTGAACATTTGATGTTATAAATACTTTCTGCAGTTATATAAGCTGAGGCCAGCTCATATATCTGGCTGAGGTCAGTGAATCCTGAAGGAGGGCCAGCCGTTCCATCAAAGGTACCTTAAGCAATGGCCGTCTTCCTGTCTGACTAACCGTCATGCGTTTGTTCCATTAACTGCCGTGACTCAGTGTTTGGGGAAGACTGGCCCTATGATACAGGTTCAGCTTTGTGGTTTGCTGTTTAAAGATCCCATGCTTGCTTCAGCACTTGTCCTCTGCAACAGCCCTGACCCAGGAACAGCTTGGTGTCTTGGGGGCTGGCTTGAACCAGAGTCCTTCGGCATTGCCGCTGGTCACAGCCAGGAGCAGGGCAATGTCCTGGGACTGGGAGCTTCCAAGGGGTGATAGTGAAGGTGAAGTGGGCTCCACACCCGTGCAGATCATTCACTGTACTGATGCACTGGCCATCTCTTGCTGCTCGAGCGGAGATGAGGCTTGGGACTGGACATGTTACCAGCTCTGCAGCTGTAGCTGGCAGGTTTGGTCTGGGGGGAGAGGATGTGGCAAGACCAGCCCAGCAGCTTTCCAGTGGCCTGGCCTCAGTTTGGTGGGCAAGTCCAAAGAAAACCCTGGTTTAGCTGCCTTGGAGTCCCAGTCCCTCCTGATGGGACACTGAAGTTTTCAGCTTGGTTTTCTAAATGCTGACTGTGGGCTGATTCTCAGGCCTGAAAGGGAGGGTTCACTTGCAGCCCAGTTTAGGCCATGTCCCAGGGCAGGAGGAGGCAGGGTTGAGAAGGAAAGCCTGCTCTGCAGATGAGGGAGAGGGAACACTGTTCTTGTTGGGATGTTATGAGCACTTCCACATCTTGCCTTCACAGCCAGGACCCTGCAGAGGGGAAATGCAACATCCTGATCCAAAGCTGGGAGCTCTCCCAGCTCATCAGGGAGCTGTGGGGACAGGAAATGGAAGGATGGAGATGTTGTGGAAGGAAGGCAGAGTTCTCATGCTGTTTCTAATCCTGCCATCTAATTAGCTGTTAAAAAAAAAAAGAAAAGTGCTAAAAATATGACCATCCTTGTGGAGTGTGGGGGAGGAATAGGCTAGGGGAAGCCAGCAGAGAGGAGGGAGGGACAGGGTATCCCAGCCTTGGCATCCCTCCCCTGCTATAGTTTTCTCCCTCCCTATATTGGAATCCCATTAATTCCTCCACATGGGTTTCTGCTGGGAAGAGGAATGCTTGGTCACAGGGCCTCCCGTGCCCCTGGTGCTCAGACCCCTTCTTTGTGGTTAGTGGTGCAGGATGTGTGCAGGGCTTTCACTCATTCATGTCATTTATTTATTTATGAACACTGTTTTCTTTCTATGCGCACATTTCTCCTTTCAGACCTTTGGGCAGGCAGCCCCCTGCCTTGTTCAGGCTTGGGTTTGGCTACAGAGATGCCTTTTCTTTTTGTCCTCTCCTCTCTCTTGCCCTGTTTTGATTAAAAGGAGAAGCAACTTTTTTATGTCCCAACTGCATTCTCCATCAATGGGATGCTGTTTGCTATCTGGGATGCTGTTTGCTATCTATAGCATTTACTAGCCTGGTAACTGAGAAAGGGGATGGCTTACAAAGATGTAATGATTGACAGGACACAACATGAAGGTCCCAAAAGGATTCTTCAACCTCTGTACCTTCTTGTTGCCCACCTCCTGTCAACTTAAAGGGTCAAGAGCTGGCTAATGGGATGAAAAGTCCTCTGCTCTGGGGTTTTACAGCTGGGGAGAACGGGAATGCAGCTATTTTGTGACCCATCCTTTGCCTCAAGCCAAGCTGCTCTGGGCATAAGATCCACACTGTGGGGAGGAAGAATAACAAACACGAATTTTTAGTTAAGAAACGGTGCCACTTGACTGACTGGTGGTGTCTCCCAGCCCTTCCATAAGCCACACACACAAGATGCTCCACAGAAGATGCCATCCTTACTTCTTCACCCTCTTGCAATCCTGTTGGGCTTTAGAGAATTGCTCAGGTCATCTTTGAAGGCCACTTTCCAGCCCCAACCCGCTGTTCCTTGAGCGTGGCTCCACCAGAGGAGTCACAGTCCTGCTGATGTCCTGCCAGGGAGACTGTGATCTGAAGAAAGCACTCTCTTGGAAGGGAATGCCCTGTACTTGAGGGCATGAGGTAGCCCAGTACCGCGTGGAGCTGCTCCAGGAGCAGATTTCCAGCAGTCTATGCTGTGACTGGAGACAGGATCACAGGGTGGCCCCATGCCAATTCTAACTTTGCTGGCAGGGGCAGCAATCAGCAGCAGAGATGCAGTAGCAGAGGCTCTGCTGTGAGGTAGCTGGCACAGTAAATTCCCCAGGGCCCTGCAAAGGAGGGAGCAAGCTGTGCTGGAGCCAACTATTCACCACGCTGCCATCCAAACTGTCTAGGTTAAAAGCAGTTGGGTAAAAAGAGCCTCCCATGCCATGGAGGTGTTGCATGGGGTCAGCCTGGGTGTGTGCTGCGGTCTGCTTTTTGCCCCTTCGTCTTGCTGATGTTCCCCAGCACTTACTCTGCCTAAGGGAGCATGGAAAAGCAGGTGGAGCAGGGAAGCAAGATGCGGAGAGGCGAGGAAATTGCCACTGAAAAGCCTCAAAACAAGGAGAAAAGCTGTAGAGTTTCTGAAGACATTTTCATTTGGGCAAAATATAAGTAAAGTAATGTAAACAAGAGAGGAGAGGTAAGTTTTGTCCTTAAACATCCTCCATGGATCGTTTCCCAGCAGATGCGGTACAGAGTTGCTGGTACAAGGTGTGCATCCCAGGTCAGGAGTTGGAGATGCTGGCAGTGAGCAAAGGGAAGGCTCTGCTTCACTTGGCTTCCCTCAGTGTCATTGCTACTTGTTTTTGCCACCACAGGAGGGTGGGCAGGAGTAGAAAAGCACCTTGTCCTGCAGCTCAGGGTCCTATCCAGCTCTGTGCTGTTGCTCTCAGGTGAGGTGGCAGCTCTGAGCAGTTGCTGGGGGACTTATTCTCTACCTATGCTCCAGCATCTTTGACAGTTGAATTTGCACCAAACTGGCTTGGAGATGAACTTGGAGAGCACCTTTTGTGCTCCCTTGAGTCCAAGGCCTGAGGTGCCCTGGTGAAGAGGAGTAGGGCTGCGATGGTTGGGTGTTCTCACCTGGTTTGCTTGGTGCATCTTGCGCACGCAAAAAACCCTCTAAAGGAGAGAAAGGGATCTTCAGAAGCTGTGTTTTGGAAAATCTCACTCCAAAATACACAGTGAATTTGAGTCAGGTTTGTGATAGAAGCTTAGTGGATTGCAACAGTTTAAATTTACTCCTTAGGGTCTGGATTGGAGGTTGAAGCACTAGACCATTGATGCTGTCTCACTCCGAGGCAGAAACAGTGCATTTGACTCTTCATATGGACTTGTGCTGAAGGTGGCTTTTTATTGGCACAGCCAAGTGTGTCAGGAATTTGCTAGGCATCTTGTTCTCAACTGCCATGGGTACTGCTATGCTTTAGCCATCTAGGGAAGGTCCTTTAAAAGGTTAAAACCCACAACATGTCTTCATTTGGAGTTGTAAGTGTGAACCAAAGCAGATACTGAATTATAAATGTGTGAAAATGATAGCTGAAATGATTGAAGACACTGGGGGGACTGGTGTGATCAGAAGGGGAAGAAAAACCTCCCATCCCGTTCCACTTCAAGAGGAGACCTTTTCCCATCCTACGAGAGGGTGAATAAGGCCATCTCCAGGTCTTTATCTGGGACCTCACTTGTGATGTGGAAGCACAATGGAAGGAGTTTCATCTGGCACAGGTGAGTAACAGTGGCTGCTCACTGTCTCTTTCTCTGGATGATGTTCTCCGTACTTGCGATTCTAGGCGGAGTTGTCCTGAACCCTGCTTACTACGGCATGCGTGGCCACATGAACACCATGATCCACGAAGTGGGACACGTCCTGGGGCTCTACCACGTCTTTAAGGGAGTCAGCGAGCGGGAATCTTGTGACGATCCCTGCAGGGAAACAACTCCATCTATGGAGACAGGAGACCTCTGTGCCGACACTGCCCCTACCCCGAAGAGCAAACTCTGCCGGGACCCAGACCCTACCAATGACACCTGCGGCCAGACGCATTTCACAGGAACGCCCTTCAACAACTACATGAGCTACACAGGTAACGAGGAATAGTCATGAGAGATTGTGAGGGGTCACCTTCCCTAGAACCTTGGGTTCCTTTCCCTCCTGCCTCCATCGGTGGTCCTTTCCGTTGTTCCCTAACTGATGTGGTCCCCCACCGTAGGCAGGGACGTGGCAGGCTGCAGCTTCTTAGCCCCTTTCTTGCTGCAGGCTGCTTCCATCTCTCCCTCCCTGCGAGTCTGTCACTGGACATGGATCAAGGCTGTTCTTGTCTGCATGGTGGCGTGCCTTTGTTCTCCAGTCCTGAAGCAACTTTATTATTACTAGTACTATTATTTATTATTACTACTACTGTCATTATTCATTATTATTCCTACTACTACGATGATTCTGGACCTTAGATTTGAGCCCTTTTGGCTTGGTTTCCAGAGGTGTACCACGGAGGGCTGGTGTTTCTCCTGGCAACCCATTGCCTGTCGAGCAATTCTGTCACCCCTTGCTGCCCCACTGCGTGTCCCACGAGGACGGTGGCACTGCCCGGTGCCACGGTCCGGGCGTTACAGCTGCTGTGAGCCTGCGGTTGAGGCTGTGGCTGTCCCCCGCTGCTGGTGCAAGAGCAAGGATGTGGAGCTGCTGAGGCAGTGCCATCTTGTGGCTCTGGGGACACACGACACCAGGAGAGCAACCACTTGCTGGTGTCTCCGGGGTCCCTGAAACAGAGTTTGGACATCAGGAAAGGTGCACATTGTCATGCTCTGCCGGCCAGTCACTACCACCTCTTCCCTCAGACGATGACTGCACCAACACCTTCACCCCCAACCAAGTGGCTCGGATGCATTGCTACCTGGATCTGGTGTACCAGCGCTGGGGCCAGAGCAAGAAGCCTGCACCCATCCCGATCCCTCCTATGGTCATGGGGCAGACGCAGGACTCCCTCAGCATCTATTGGCTGCCTCCCATCAGCGGTGTCATCCATGAGAGGTAAGGTGTCTGCCGTTGCTATGGTTTTGGGCTTGCATAGAAGCCTTGTAGAAGGGACAGGGGACCCTCTATGGTGCAGACCCACCCCCTCCATCCCCTTTCGCCCTTGGTTGTCTCCAGCAGAGCCCTCGGACACAAGAACTGGGCTGCTGTGATGGCCCCGCTGGCACGTGGGCTTTCCTGCAAGCCTCCTGCTCTTGGGGTGCCAGGAGGGGAAGCCAAAGAGCATTGGGAGGCAATGCCAATTCTTAAACCCCAGAGTGCAATCACAGAATGAAAAATGAGCTTCATTTAGCACTTATTGTATAAAATAGCCATTTACCAGGAGGAAATACAGCCTTGTGGTTGAGGCAGGGAGCTCGAACCGCAAGAGCAGGGTTTCGTTCCCAGCACTGTCATGGATTCGTGGTGTAACTGACTGGGGGTAAGTCAGGAAACTTTCCAAGCCAGAGAAACAGTGCTAAGGAACCGGAGTTGTTTGGCTGGTGAGTAGTGCATGGCCCTGAGTGCTGGGTGGCTCTATTCCTGCTCCCCAGCACTGGGGAGTCACCAGGATCTGGATATGCCACTAATGCCTCTATTCAGCAGCTCCTCTGAACTGAAACATTTCAGTTTCTACCAGGTTTTAGGTCTGTGCTTTATTACGGAACCATATGCATACATTAAAGAGCTCTTGAAATTGCTTTAAAGCTGCTTCACAAAGTTTTTGTGATCCAAAGAAAAGCTGTGTTTGAGGGCAGCTGGATCAACCCTGGGTCAGTTGGGGAATGGATTGGTTTGGGAGCATGAAAACACGGGTTTGTGGGGCAGCTGCTGGGTCTTCAGATCCATCCCTGACTCTTGCTCATAACTGGCTCAGGAGGTGGGTTCTGCATCCTCTGTGATGTACTTGCCAAGAGAAGGGCCTGACGCTGGTCTTTATCACAGAAAAGTCTCTTTTGCTTTCTTGGAGAGCACAGTGGTACCCTCTTTAATTGATGTTATTGCGACTGTCTTGTACTGCAGTAGTGACAAAAGCCAAAAGCCTGACTCTGGGATTTAGCAGAGATAGACCAGATGGCACCCACCCAACTGCAGAGACATTGCCCTGGAAATGGGAAGTCTGTTAGCTCTGCTTCATGGGTTGGGAACAGGCGATTCAGTGGCTCATTCAAGGCTACCCAGAGAGACTGTAGAATAGGAGGGATTAAACCCACCCTGTCCCACAGTTAGTCCTGTTCTCCTGTCTTTGACCAAGCTGATTTCAGGCAGGATGATATGCCATGGGGCTTCCTGAGAGCTTACCTTTGCGTTTCCAACTTCCCATCTGATCCTGCCTGGACAAACGTGGATGGCAAGTAAACCAGTTGTAATTAGAGACGCCGATGCCTTTGCTGTCTGTCTGCAGGGAGCAGAACACACTCTGCGACAACTGTGCGGAGGACGGCACCTTCCGTCAGTACGTGCACGAGGCCTCTTCCCCTCGGGTCTGTGATTCCTCTGGCTACTGGACCCCAGAAGAAGCAGAAGGTACACACCTCCTCTCTTCCCCTGGCTGTGAAACTCCTGGACAGAGACAAGGTCTTGTTGGGAAAAGAAAAAGAACCTTGTTTTCTTTTAGAGGGTGGGGAGACTCTTTAGAGCAGGAAGGAATTCTAGATGTCCAGAAGATACCTTGTAACTGCCAGCATTTTTGGACAAACTGAAATCCCGATATTAGCACCAGGCGTTGCCCAGGAAGGTGTTAATGAGAGATATGGGTTAAAAGGGAGGGGCATTTCATTGAAAGAAAGTCTTGCAACATAGATCCTGGGACTTCATCCAAAACCTCAGGGGCATTCACAGGCTTTGATGCAGCCTTGTCCCGCGGGAGTAAGACGAGCTCCTTGTTCAGTCCCACTGAGGCTGTATCAGGTCCTAGGCAATCTGGGTTGGATGCAAGTCCTCACCTCATGTAAGGTGAACAGCCAGGTGTTACAATTTCTCTTGTGCTGAGCCCCAGATGTTGGTTTAGAGACCCACCTTGTGGGCATGGTGGTGATTTTCAGGGTATGACCCTGCCATGGGAGGTGTTGGACTTTTTATGCTACCTCAGCTCCTCCAAGGGCAAAGCGGAGGTGGCAGGAGACCAGGTGAAAGGATCCCATGAGCTGTATGTAGTGCACGTGCTGTTGTGAACCTTGTGGAGCCAGGGAATCTGTTAGCTCTGTGCATCTGCACGTCTGAGCCACTGGGGTGGACTGAAGATGTGCCAGGGTGGTTGCAGAGAAGGTACATTGTGGACGTTATTTCACTTTTGGGATGTAACCCGTGCTTTGACAAGTGTCAGGACGTAGCTGAGGTTCTGTGCCTGAAAACTGGAATTTAAATATCTCTTGCTGGTATTGGAAGTTGAGAGGTGGGAAAACAAATTTAAAGAAATAATCAAAATTGTGCTTTTTCAGTGACACCAAATAAATCAAAGCTTAGCTTATTTAATGTCAGTAGTTCCTGCATCCCACCTGTCTGAAGTACTGGCAAATTAAAATTGCTTCTGGAATTATTAGATGTTGTTTTCTCCTGTGCATGACCTGTAGTTATTGCAAGTGCGTGTTTGCTTTGCTGAAACAGAGACAGGTTTTACAGTTTATAGAAGAATAGCACTTAAATGTTACAGGCTTGGAATTGTTGCTGGGCCCTAAGAAATGCTTGCAGTGGTTGCTGAAGAGAAGGGTGTTTCTACTACAGGATCATGAATCCCACTGATGCTTTCTGAGACTGAAAGCCCGGCACTGCATTTCTCTTGCTGAGTGCTAACCCACCACGCAGGGAGGCAGGCTGGGGATTTGAGGGCAGCCTGTGACTCGTTCTGAAGGTCCTGGTGGAAGAGCAGCCTTCAAGAGCTGCTCCCTTGCATTGCTTTGGAGCTGGTCCCCTCTGGCCTGTGTCCTGTTCCAGCCTGTGGAAGGTCTCTGCTCTGCTTAGCCTATCTCCAAATCCATGGAGCCACAGGCGCTTAGCATTCAGTTGTCCTTGGCAAGCCTTCTGTGCCCATGAGATTACAGACCCAGCTTCATGTCCGCCAGCTGTGTCCAGGCTGTCTCTAGAGCTTGGCACTGTGGCCAGCTGCAATGTGGATACCATTGTCCCTGTTTCGGAGGGCTGTGAGAACACCAGATCTGCCAAGGCTTCTGCTTGTATGCATACCCAGGAGCTGAGAGATCAGTGGTGCTTACTGCTTTCTACCAGGCTGTCTCTAGAGCTTGGCACTGTGGCCAGCTGCAATGTGGATACCATTGTCCCTGTTTCGGAGGGCTGTGAGACACCAGATCTGCCAAGGCTTCTGCTCGTATGCATACCCAGGATCTGGGAGATCAGTGGTGCTTATTGCTTTCTAGGATGTTAGGGCAGATGCTACCAGCAATAACACATGCCTGTAGTGAGTGCAAAACTGCTTCGGTGTGGAGCTATAGCACAGAGATTCATAAGCACCTATGGGGTACTGCAGGGAGAGTCACCCCTCTGGGTCCCCAATGAGGTCAGCTGTCCCCTGGTCCTTATCAGCCTCCTTCTTGTCCCTCCTGCCCAGGACCCCCGGACGTGGATCAGCCCTGTGAGCCCAGCCTGCAGGCCTGGAGTCCAGAGCTCCACCTGTACCACATGAACATGACCGTGCCATGTCCTCAGCCGGACGGCTGCATCCTGGAGCTCCGCTTCCTGCACCCTGTCTACCCCGACTCCCTGACCCTCTGGACCACATACCTTTCCACAGGCTCACCCAAGACGCTGTCTGACATTGAAGTCCTGACAGAGCAGGGGGAGTCCATCCATCTGGGCCCCCTGGACACCTTCTGTGATGTTCCCTTTACCGTGAAGCTCAACATCCCTAAAAAAGTGTCCGGAGTCAAGATCTACACTTTTGATGAGAGGATGGAGATAGACACGGCTCTGCTGACCTCCATGCCCCACAGCTCTCTCTGTTCCACCTGCAAGCTCATCCAGTACCGAGTCTTCCGTGACCCCCCGTTTGCCAATGGATCCCCTGCTGCCCCGGCACAGGCGCACCGCCAGTTTGTTGACACGTGAGTGATGAGGCCTCTCTGTCACAGGCTGAGCGGGCGGCTGGGACAGTTTTGACGACCTCCTCAGGTCCTGCCTTTGAATTCTTGGATAGTTTTGCTTGTTTTTTAGTTTCTCCTTCCCAGGAATTACCACGTTCAATGCCATGAGCAGATTCCCTATTGAGCATTAAGGAAGCTCATTGCAGACCCACCATGCTAGCACAACCCTAGCCCATGGACCCAGGCTAACTAGAAGGAGCTTATTAAACCCAGAAACATTTTCCCCATCATCACAACCAGTAAAATGATTGTTCAAGTTAATGCCACTTCTCCCCAGCTCAGACCCTAGGGAAATAAGCAACAGGCCCCTCTGCACGACCTGGCAGAGACCCTTTTCCCACAGTCTCTGCCTCTGGCACTTTAGAGTGCGAGGACATATGTCAAACTGTGCTACTGCATGAGCACGCACACGTGATTTCTATAGCTGTGGTGAGCAAATCCGTTGCAGATGTATGGGCTCTTCTCTCCTGCTCTTTCTTCAAGTCCTCTCTGTTCCTGCAGGGAAGTCACACCTGGGCAGGTGTACCACTACCAGGTGCAGGCAGTCTCTGGGACAACCTCAGGAGAAGCCTCCCCGCCACTCATCCATGTCCACGGAGCACCCTACTGTGGGGATGGGAAGGTGACCATGTAAGTCGAGAAGCGTATGCTCTCAGCTGAGGTTCTTTAAGCTGTCAGGTCATCCTGTGCCAAAGGGAAGCGCTAGATTGGTCCTCCATCCATGGGTACTTGACTGAAGAGGTTGCACTGAATGCCTCCAGCAGACTGGACTATAGAGCTTGTGTTTTGTAAAATGCCATGTGCGTAGGAGATGGAGAAGGTATTTTTGAGAAGTCTGCTCTGGATGAGGGGTCCAGTCCGAACATCCTTTGTGTCTGACTGCTGTGCTTGGGTTCTGGCCCATCTCAGCAGTTTGTTGCAGAGTCTGACCCCAAAGAGGGTCTTTAGGACTGGCCAATATAACCTTTTACACAGGACACATGGTGGTGGCCCTGCAGGAGTAGATTCCACAGCAAGCGCAGTTTTGCACAGCATGGTGTCTTTAGAGAGCTGCCTGGTCTCTGCTTAGAGACCCCAATTTGTGAGGGATGCACCACCTCTTCATTGAGAAATTCCAATGGTTCACCTGCTCCGTCTGGGGATAATTATGCCAGATTTGCATATTTTAGTATTTTTCAGACTTCCAACTTCCAGATTACTCAGAATTGCTTTCATTCAAAACCAGCTTTCTTAACAGTGTGAGGGCAGTGGACAACTGAAGCAAGCACAGGAGGGACTGTGGTATTGTACAAGACCCAGCAAGGCAAAGAGGCTTACAGCAGGGCTAGCTGCTGAAGTGGTGTGACCTGGTATGGTTTTAGCATGACTTCATACTAGCTGAAAACTTGGTCCAGAGAGAGCAGATGACCAGGTTAGGCTCTGTTGTCAAAGCCAACAGCAAAGTGAGAGAAGCAGAAATGGGCAGATATGAGATGCCATTGCATGTCAGCTGAGGGCTGATTCTTGTCTCCTCTTGGGCTAATCTTCTCTCTCTACCTTTTCCTGTTTCCTCTTCTCCAGCTCCCACTGAAAAGCCAGCCCCATCTCAGAACCTCCTGCCCTCTCCAACACTTGCCTTTTCCAGCAGCAAGTTTTCCTGATGCTTGGTTCTCTACTTTCTCCGCTGTACCTAGCTTTATTTTCACCCATAGTTTTTCCCTTAGGTCTTATAAGAAAGTCCCAGTACAGTCATGCCATTTCCCATATGCTGTATTTTCAACCTCTTTTTATACCTGGGCAATGTATGGTGTTTTCGCTCCTCTGTCTTACTCCATACATCGTTCTTCCTCTTCTCCCTACTTCTGTGAAAGTGGAACCAAGATATAGAGTCCTCGCTTATGACTGGGAAGAAGCATAGGAGTGTTGAGTCAAGAGTGATATTAACATATCTGGCTGTTGTCCTTTTAGGAGCCTGGAGGAGGAATGCGATGACGGGGACTTGCTGGATGGAGATGGCTGTTCCAGGAAGTGTAAAAAGGAAAAAGGCTTCAACTGTGTTGGTGAGTCCAAATGGATTGAGACGTTGTCTTGAGGCATGAGACAAAACTGTACATTATTCTCACTGCTCCTCAGAGCAGGGGGTGATGAGTCCCATCACAACAAAATGCAGATGTGCATGCAGCTGGAGTGATCAACGGAGCCTGTCAGGCCCCTGTGGTGGGAAATCCCAGGGCTAAACAGGCAGCACGCTTCCTGAGACAGGATGAGATGTATGTGCCTGGAGCCTTGTTTGTAAACGTGTCATCCTTGGTCTCCTTTCAGGGGAACCAAGTCTGTGCTACGTGCATTATGGGGATGGTGTGTGTGAGCCATTTGAGAAGACAAGCAGTGTCCTGGACTGTGGTCCCTACACACCTGATGGATATGTGGATCTGTGGGCAGTGAAAGCCTACGCTTCCCATCACGACACGAAGTCCTGTCCTGCATCCTTGGTCACTGGAGAGCCTGTTGTGAAGGTGAGTGAAGGCATGGCCAAGAAAAAGGACTTTTCTACCAAAGCCCATGCAGTAAAGCTGGGGAGGTCACCTCTGCAAGAGCGTACTGAGGCAAAACCAAAATCTTCAGAGCAGCTCTGGAAGTGTTCGTTCATTGCTATAGTCACATGCGAGGAGCCACTGGAAGACCTGGGCATTTCTCACACCCCTCTGTCAGTAGTCTCCCTAAGCCCAGGACCTGCAGCACATGGAGGAGTGTTTCATCAAGGCAGGGAGCACCTCCCCTGACCGCGCAGTTCGCTAAACAGTGACCACCCCTGTCCCACCACCTAAATGAACAACTCTGAGCATGTGAGTAGTCTCACTGTTGGCTTAAAAAAAATGCTGTGAGTCAGGGCTTGAAAGAATAAAATCATGCATACATCAGCATCTGTGCTGCTCTCAAATGTTCTGATCTGAAGCCAAGGAAAAATCGATGGGAGAATTCCCACTGTTCATATGGGCTTTGGGGCAGGGCCTGGAGGTCTAGGATGGGTTTTTGCCTGATCGATGTTAACATGGTGTGTTCTTTTCTAGCAAGCTGAAGAAGGGCAAAAAATACGTAGAGAGGTCATATTTAGCCCGTTCTACATCTATTTTTCTTGACCTGGTATAAGGAACAATCTTCTTGAGACCTACAGCATTTTTAAATTGCCCGGATGTATGTGTCTAATGAGATGCCTTGGGCTCAGGTGTCTGCTCCTCTAGAGTGACATGCTATCTCCCAGTTTTTGCCAGGCCTACGGGGGTGTCTGAGTTGACATAGGGCATCGACTAGCACAGAAGACTACTGTATTCAGGCAAATGAATCACATCTTTGGATCTCATCAGCCCAGTTAAAATCAGGAGGCTGCAGTCTTCCCTACCATCTCACAATTTGGCTCATTACTTCTTACTCAGCCCCACAGATACCATGGGGTGCTTAAACAGCATATTTACAGCACCTCTAAATGGCAAAGGCCTCCTGTGCACATGTGTGGGTGGTAAGAAGTCACTCCTGCTTAGGAGCCCACATCCTAATTGTCTTCATGCTAGGAACCAGCTTGGGATCCTTCTCAATGTTTGTTGAGTCTTCCTTGAGGTTTTGTAGGTGCTGTTTCTGTCTCTCACTTCCCTTGCTTCTTTCTGGGTTGAAATAAATCTCTCCTTTTAGGTATGTAAATCGCACCTTCACAACGTGCCAAAGGACCTTTCCCTGGCTGCCTGGTTCCCCTGCTCTCCCAGCCAAGACAATGCTCAGGATCCAAACAAGGAGAGGATGCCCTTGGGCAATGAGGGGGTTTGGCTCAAGGTAAGTAGGGACGTGTGGTGAGGCAAAGAAGGATTTGCTTGTCTTTGCCCGCAGCACTTTGATAACAAAGACTCACGCTTTTCTGTCTCATAGAAGCTACAGCAGTCTTAAAAACTGCTCAGGTAGGACTTCATACCCTACTGAACTCTTTGCAAACCCCAAATGCCTGTGGCTGGGTCTTATATAGTTGTCCCATTCCCACTGTGAACAGCAAACCCATCCTGGGGCAGATTGCCAGGAGAAGGGCTGTGCCTGAAACCAGGAGCCCACAGAAATGCATCGAGGCTGAGAAACAACTTGCTCCTGGCTGTCCCCGTGGCTGTGAAGAGCACGAGAGGGTAGCTAGATATACTCTGCCATCCTGAGGGTCCTGAGCACTCCAGGTTGCTGCTCAGCGTGCCAAGCCCACAGCAATCAGCTGTGGCATGCCGGTCCTCCTGCTCCTCCGTGACTTCTGTGCCCAAGATGCTGCGTTTATCCCCTCTCAGGGGGGGCCCAGAGGCTGCCTCCACAGCTGGGGGCTGCCTCTGGGAGGGCACCTGGAGGGTCAAACCTTTCTGTCCCAGCAGACAGAGGAGAGCTGAGGGTTAGGCCAATGTGATTTTTACAGCGTTAATTTTCTGACCACAGACACAGTTTAGAGGTTTGGTGGCTGTTGCCTGGTGTTACTGGAAAGCTGGGCTCTGGCGTGCTGTTTCCTCTGCACTTTGGGGAGCACCTGACCCTGCTTTGCTCAGGATTGCCTAGAAAGGACCTCTTCCCAAGATGCTCAGATGACTTGGTGAATTGTCAAGTCAGTAAGCATGGCTATTGCCTCTGAGGCCCTCTGTCTCACCTGCTTTGTGGTGGGGATTTTTTGTTGAGTTCCCCAACTCCCACCCTTCCTTGTCTGTGTCCTCACAACCTACTTTATGGCTTCAGTTTCTGGCCGTGATAAATGTGCCTCCTTTCTTCCTTTGCTAGTGAGAAAGCAGCAACCTCCCCCTCTGCCCTACCTAGATGAAAGCTTGCTTTCCACTTCTCACCAGGGGTTAAAGTGTGTTCCAGTTTTATTGGAGCTTGTGGTCAGTTCTCTTCCTCTGTGGATGTTTATATTAAAGACATTCATTACTGGTTCTTCATGCTCTCTCTAGGAGTGTTATTATTTTCCGCCCATAAAATTATTTATGGACTAGTAATAAATATGCTCTTTTTCTTTTTTTCTCCCCCCCCCCTCCTTTTTTAATAGAGTTTGCCTGATTGGTAACATATTGGGTTAGGAAAGACAGCTTCTTATTGACAGTTTGCCTAGCACGCCCGCCTGCCCAAACACGAACGGTGCTGTTCATGCACATGCGTACCCATGAGTGCATGGTGTTTTGTGGCCACCAACTCCCATGGCCATTTTAAAGCTGTTGCACCTGTGTCACCTGGGTTAAAACCACTCCACAAAACTCATTGGGTGGTAGGAATCGTGTCCTACAGAGCTTCTCAAGAGGTGGCATCAATGACCAAGGCTGGGTTACGCTGTAAGCGGACTAGGGGCAAGAGAAGTGTCTTTGCCACCTAATGAAGCATCTACCATGCACCTTGGGTCTGTCTGCACATGGGAATCATTATGATTTGCAAATCTGCGGCCACCCTTTGTTCTCAGTTTCTAACACAGCTGATGAGGAGAGAAATCAAAATCACTTGTAAGCAAGACAGGATGTGTAACCTGCAGGAAATTAAACAGAAAGGGGGAGAGAGAGGGAGAAAAATTAAGAAGAGAGCCTGCTGTGGCCAAGCATATAGTATGTATTTAAAACAAGAAAGGAACTGGGATTTTAAGTCAACTCTGTTGGTTGAACTTGAGCCCAGGGTCCTTCACCTCCCAGTAGGTGCACTGTAGGATGGGAAAGATTAAACCCTCTGTCTTAAGCTGTGTAGCCCAGGGAAAGCCTCACCTGACTTCTTCAACCCCCTCTGCTCCCCTGAGGAGCCATGCTTGGAGGAACGGGCTGCAGTGTCTGGGTTAAAACTGACCAGCTCCTTGGGGCTTCCCAACTGGAGCTCTGTCCTGGAGGGCTCCTTGGAGCAGGCTGGAGCACTCTGGCTCTTCTTCGTCTTTCTTCTCTTCCTGCTTTCCTTTCCTTTCCTTTCCTTTCTTTTCTTTTCTCCCCCTACTTTTCTCACCAAGGAAGACAGTGGGGATGTACCAAATAAAAAAAGCTTGAGCCTCCTGGACTACTCTTTGCTGCCAGGCTGGTCCTGCAGGAAAGCAAGCCCTGGCCAAGGGAGCATGTAGGCAGTGGTGGGGACTTGCTTGTGGGGTGTTTACTGCCGAGCACCTCCCTGCAGGGTAGGAGCCCTGGGCTGAAGCCCAAGGTTTTCTCCTGCTCCCGTGCGTGAGCAATGCCTGGCATGGCATGAACCACCCTGAGGCTGGGCTGCCATCACAGACTGGGTGGTTGTCCCCTCTGCTCCCACAGTCTGCTCCTCAGGCTGTGCCCGGCCAGCCAGGACTTGTCCGATTTCTGAGCTCCCTCCATGCCGACATTCAACAAAATCTCTTTATAAGGTGGGTCTTGATCAAAACACATCCCAGCACTGGGTGGGGGGCACCAGGGTGGGGGAGAAAAACATTTCTGTCTTCTTACTTCCGAAGAACATCTGCCCTGCCATGATTGATGACCACGAGTTTCCCGGCTGCCTCCCGTAGCCTTCGGGGCTGTAAACAAGCGGGGAGCTGCTGGCTCTCCTAGCAGGCAGGGCTTCTTCTCACAAATCTTTCCATGTGTTGGCTGATGGACAGTTTGCAGTCACTCTGGGTACTTGGTTTCTGGTTTTGTTTTTAATGGAAGTATTTTGGCGGCAGGGCTGGTAGCTGTGCTCTCTTAGGTGCCTCGCTTGCCCAGCTAGCACCTTGAATGGTGGGAGTCAGAGCCTGGTGAAGGGAGGGCATAAAAGGGGTTATCCAGGTCTCGGTCAGGTGTTGCTCAGTTCTTGGAGCAGCAAAGCTTCCCAGTGGAAGCTGGGAAGATGCTATAAATTTATGGTAAAGCAGGACTAATACACGTGGAGAAGACTAGTGAAAGGGAGAAGGGGAGTTAGGAAGGAAACAACTGTGCTCCTGCACCCTTCCTTCCCTCCTCTCTCTCTTCCCACTCATTTGCTGCCCTGCACATCCACAGTCTCTGCCTCACTAATCCCACTCCCACTCTCTCACTGCACTCCCTCTTTCTCTCCCTCTTACATATATGGGATCAGAAGGACTGTATTTGGTGTGCATGCTCTCAAGGTCTCTCTTGCCCTTCTGCCCAGGTGTGCTTTGAGAGACCTGCAGTGCCCATCTCCCTGCTGGTCTTCCTGGCCTCTGACGGCACCATCCCAAGCAACCAGCACAAGCCAAGGGTCACTGTCCAGCTGAGTGACGTGGATGGGCTGAACCACTCTTTGGGTGAGCAACCTCTGGGCTGTGGCACCAGTCTGTGCAGGGACACCAGGGGCCCCCACCATGGCTGCAATATCTCTACTGGGTTGGGTGCTGCTGTCCCCTGTCCCTCCTTGCAGCAACTTCTGCTTCCCACACTGGTCTGCTGGGCTGTGTAGGGGGAGCAGAAGAAAACATCCCTGGAGCTGCGCTAGTGGCTTCTTTCTTTGCCCCATTTTGCAGGGATGTATGAGCTGTCGTGCCAGCACAACCCACTTGTCATCAACGTGACCCACGGCCAGAAGGACCCATCCCACCAGGCTGCTTCGGTGCTGCTCAACTTCTCCTCCCCACTTGTGGGCATTGCAGCCGTGGCCTTGCGGACATCAGCTCAACCTGGCTTCTCTGACCCCACCATCTGCCTCCTGCAACAGGAGGAGGGATGTGGCCATCAGCACTACAGGTATGGTCTCCTCAGGGCACTTCCCAGCGGACACCTCTCTCCTCTGGGGCTTTGTACTTCAGTTGTGGAGTTTTCATCTACTCACGGAGTGTTTCATGAGTAGTCTCAGGTGGTGTTTGAGGTGCTGTGGGAAAATGCAGTGTAATGAGTCTTGAATTGCTTATCTAGCTGTAAGGGGAAAGGCAGAAATATAGATTTTGTGTGTGTCCTGTGCATCTGCACAAAGCTGTGTTAATGGGCTGTTCCTTGTTGGGAAAACCAAGCTCCCTCTGCTGAGGTTGCTGCTGAAGCCAAAATGTTGGCTTCTTCAGCGTGTGCTTTAGAAGCTCGGTCTCCATCCATTCCAGTCTTCCTCGCACTGCAGGAGGTGGGAATGAAGCTCTTCCCCTCTTCCTCCCCTCTGTGTTGGCTCCTTGCCTGTCCCAGGCTCCCCACAAAGTCTCACTCTGTCCCTGTCGTAATGCAGTATAACGGTAATAGTAGCAATGGCGCTTTAATTTATTCATGTCCAGTGCTCATAGGCATCTGCCTGTCTTCGTAAAGCAGCAGCAGAGAGGTGGCATTTGGAGAAGGGGTGCTGCTCTCCGAGTGGGTCGTGCTGGCAAAGGGATGAGGGGGAACCATCATCCTAAATAGACTGAATAAACAAGGCAGAGCGTGCTGAGGAGAGGCATGGGCCCGAGGAAAAATGAAAGGATGGTGCTCAGGTCTGTCCTAGAGGGGTGGTGGGGCTGACAACAGCCAGACCTGCCAAGTCTGGCTTTGCTTTTGGTTCCTAGTCTCCCTGAATTTACAAGCGTGCCGATCCAGGGCTCTGGTTCAGCCAGTTACTCAAACCACACCGCTGGGTATACTGGTCTTTTGGGTCCAAGCTTTGCTGGAGCTGTGGGGGCATTAAGACTGAAGGGCTTTGGCTAAGGTCATTGCAGAGCTGCTGCTGTCGTTTTTCTTCTGTTGATGGCCCTGGATGGATGAACATCCCCGATAATGAATGAATGTGCATGTGTTTGTTTAAAAGCTTGTAGAACCATAGTACAATTGATTTATGTAGAGTTCTGGAAGCCATGAATATCCTGCAGTTGCTTTTTACGTTCTTTTTTTTTTTTTAAGTGCATGTGTGATTTATACAGAAACATAAATCTTAGCGAGTCAGCATATAAATATTATTCTCAGCCTTACATTAAAGGATCAGCGTCCACCTGAAATGCAGTCCGTTTCCTCCTGGTAGATGTTAGAGCTATGTACACACATGCTTCTAAGACCCCAGCCGACTGATGTGGTTTTTCAATCACATTTTCTCATTCTTTATAATAATTTTTGTGCTCTCATTGCTTCCCCCCCCTTTCTACCTCAGAATTGCAAGGAGGAGTAGGCTGACTGGATGCAGCTGAGCATCACCTATAGATGGGAGGAGCTCATACAGGGACAAATAGAGAGGAAAGTAGAGGTTTTTCTCTTAGAAGTCTCATTATAGCAGGAGCACAAGCCAGCTCTCATATCGCCAAACCACACAGAGCTGTGTGCGCTTGGCATGGGCTTGGCAGGGCCCATCAGGATGCTCACTTCTTCTCCTCCTCCTCCCGCTGCTCTTCAGGGCCTTGGCTGAGCTGTGGTGTGCCGAATCGCAGGTGCCCTTCTCGGACACTGAGAGTAAATCAGACCCCCAGCGTTTTTGGAGTAGGAAATGCTATTTATAGTATTGCTTCTCTGGACAAAAGACTTGAATATTTATAGCGGGGTTAGGCTTACAGTCTTCAGTAGTCTCACTAATAGCAAAAGACCTGCCTCTGTTGAGTCAGGAAACATCTATGTATCCCCCACTTACTATATTTTTAAAATCTATTTCATCTCCAAAACAGCAGTATTTTTATTTTTAAGGGCTAATAATTCATTTCATATAAGGCAGGTGGAGTCCGGGGGAAAAAAAAAATCCCCTATAAAAATCCAGGAATATAAAATCTTAAGAGCTTTAGAGACATTCAGCTGTAAAAGATCGCAGAAGATCTGCGTTATTCCTGCAAAGAATCGAATTGACCGTGTACACGGTACGTGCATGTGCGTGCTTTCCGAAAATAACCCAAGAAAGGGACAGTAACATAAGCAACAAAGAAATGAGGTTTCCTGACTTCAGCCTAGAAATGCTCAACGCCAAAATAATAAATATATGACGGCTTGGTATTTCTGTAGCATCATTCATCTCGAAGGATCTCGAAGTGGGGAAAAGAAAGAGATCGTGTTTTGGCTGATGAAATGCAGCCACCTCCAGGTCAGGATGCAGCAGGCGTTTGACGCTAGAAAAGTACATCCTTGTTTTGAGGGGAAAAAAGTTTAAAAAGTTGCCTTCCGCTTTTGGATGCGCTTGAGGCACTGAAGGATGGAAGAGCACTTGCAGAACAAAGCAGCGTGGTGTCCCTCCCTCACGCCTCACTACCAGCACCAGGAACCCCTCTCTGCGGTCTCTGCCAGCAGCTCAGGGCACTTCTTTGCTTCCTGTACCCAACCACAACCTTACGAGGTCAAGCAGAAATCAGACTTTTAGGAAGTTTCCACCCAGGAAACTTAAACTCTCCAACTTTCATTCTTTTGTTTGTATTTTAAAACTGAGCCACGGTCTCTCCTGTTTTCCTTGGTCCAGGCTATACACTGAACCAGGGGAACGCTGTTCGTTTCCTCCATTATATTTGTTTTATTCGTTTTATTTTTAGTGAGTTTTATTTTATGTTAGTGTATGCTGGGAAATGCCCTGGTGAGTTAACAGGAAAGGTGCTACAAAATGCAAACTGCATTATGTTTTTATTTACTGTGTGAGTGCCCTCCTCTGCTACCCGAAAAGTGGGTTTAATGCATCAAGGGTGTCAGGAGGTCTGGTTTGGATTCCTTTAATATCAAATGTAAGTGTCAGGGAGAGAAAATTGGATGGAGGAGGGGGTTGTTTACATATTTTCAATTGCTAAACTTTATTCAGCAAGGAGGACCATTTCCCAAGCAGATTTTATTTGATTTGTTTTCTTCCAGGTGCCAAATTTGTGCAGGGTCAATTTATGAACTGCATCTGTGCCCATGTGAAGATCTGTGGGGACTCTGGGTAGAGATGCTGGCATTTTCCTTTCCCTCCCTTTGGCCTAGGGTGCCCCATGGTCGGGGACCATGCACAGAGCGACTTGATCATTCACTTCAGCTGGTGGCTTCACTGCCCAGCTGTAAGGTGACGAGGGAAACCCTTGGAGGTGCAGGGACCATTTTCATGGGCTGTCCCATTCCATTTGCTTTCTGCAGCCTAGTCAGCTTCTTGCATTTAATGTTTTGTATGTGGGGCTTTTTAGGATGCTCAAGGTGTCTTCTGCCTTTCCCTGAGGCTAGCTAGTCTCATCTAGAAGAAAATATCTCCCAACGCAAAGGTTTCTCACCAATTACATCTCGAGTTAAACGCAGCAGCTCAACAGCTTAGAAGCAGAGCGCTTGGTGTCACCTCGTGGAAAGGGCCACTCAGTCTGATAAGCTTTCTTCAAGCATGGCCACTCCCTGATACATCAGAGGAAATGAATTACAGCGCGGAGCAGTTGCGTGGTGTGAAGACACACTTCTCTCCTGACTCCGCACAGCTCCTGGTGAAACCCTGTGGCTGGATCTCTATTCCTTGTTCTCTTAACAGTATGGACACTGTGTGAACCACACAAACCCTCCTTCCCATGCCCAGTGAAGAAGAGGACAAGCACCAGGGGACCCCGAGGTCTGCCTGCAGAGCCCTGGCTGTACTGCTGTGGCTAGCCTGCCCCTGTTTTGCCCTGCCTTTCCTCACAGGCACTGCCATTTCTCACAGAAACTGGATTAAGCATATCCTTCAGGCTCTCATCTCATGTTCCAGGCTGCAGGAGGGGATGAGCGTACAGTCTCACCTGCTGAGCTATTCTTATATCCACTAACCCTCTCTGCTGAGAAGTTGCCTCTGATTTCAAGATGAAAGTTGTTGCCTTTGCTTCCATCCTTGTCAGAAAGACCTAAATGCCTCCTGCCAGCAGACTTCTTTACTTCTTTTCTGTGTGTATGTGTCTGTACAGTGATCAGGTCCCCTCACTACCTCCTCTCAACCATGATAAATGTTTTTTCCTTCTTAAACCTTATAGTGCAAGTCTTGCAGTCCAGCTATGGCTTCTACTTGAAGCTTGCTTTTGAAATCTCTCCATTATTTCTGCGTCCTCCTTGGTGGTGGATCTGGAGCAGAAGAAGGCAAGATAGGGATGGCAGAAATGAGGTACAGCATGCTGTCACAAGGATCAGATGTGGATAAAGGCAGTCTTTGGAATAGCTGAATATGCACCCTTGAGGAAGACTGGCAGATAAATCCTGCCTGCATGCTGGTCTCACGATGGGCAGGTGGGCCATGTGCCTTCAGGAAGGGGTAAGGTCAACTCCTCCCAGGAGTGATGAAGTACAGTCTCCATCCTACCTCAGATTGCACAGCTGACTAGACCAAAGTTGTCATCCCTTTCAGCCTCACTTTCTGTGCTTCTATAAATCTATTTTTGGTGTAGCAAGCAACAAAAAAACAGGGCAAGGAACTGTCTGGAAATACATTAAGATTCATCTGCTCTTAGTGCTTTTTCTGCTTTTGCCACGATGGCTATGGAGGGGCCAGCAGGTCATTACTGGTGCCTTTTCTCCATTTGTGAGGTAGATGACAGTGGATGACTCACAGGGATGTTATTTTTTGCCAAGTTTCTTTGGGAGTCACGTACCGAAGCAAACAGCTTTTCTTGAGGTGGCAACCTCAATGAAGATCGTAATCAAGAAGCGTCACCACCGTTGGGTCTGTACATGTAGCCTGCTACCACAAGGATGGCTGCCGTCAGATTTACTGGAAAAGTGAGACCTTTCCCCTTCACAGGAAACATGCCTGAAGGGAGAAATTCCCAAGTATTTCCAAAACACCTTTTCTCATTTCCTTGCTATTTTCTTTTGCTAGACATCACTGGGGTAAACATCTTTTATCTCACTGATGTTCAGTGCTACAATCCAGACTCCACCAGAGTACACGCAGTGACTGCTTTTACCTCCAGGAGATTTGGATGAAGCCTTTATCTTTTCATCAATGTTCCCTATAACCCCCTCTCCCCAAAAAATCTGCACCACGAGATGAACTTCTTATAACAATATTCCTCTGTTAGAGTTGGAGCTTGATGATAAGGGCTGTTTTAGCAGCAATCTTTGGGTTGAAAGCTTGAGTAGATACTGCAGTAATTTATTCTACTTTATGCAGCTGCACTGTATCTGGTGTGGCTCGCTTGACTTGGGTAAATTCATCAGTGTTTTCTGCGTTCTGTGATATAGGTGTTGTAAAATGCGGAATTTCAGCTTTTCAGAATTTGGGTTTTGTCACAACACAATGATGCCTCCCCGCTCGCACTGTCACCAGCGGCTCAGTGTGCTCCGCTGCTGGGAGTTGCCTCCTGCTTTTGTTCTAGAAAGATGAAGGATTGCAAAGGAAAAGTTTTTCTCTAGTTTATAGAATTGGTCCTATTTCAGAACAAAACTCATATCGTTCCAGAGCAGTTAGGGCCATCGCTAGGCAGAACTTCACACATTTCCAGATCTGATTCTTTCTTTGATGTATGAGTTATGGGGCTTGGCGAGCCCAGAAAATAGTGCAGGCTGGTGCTGACGTGGAATTAGTTAAGAGAAAAATCTTGATATTTTGTAAAAATGTTGTTGACAAATCATCAGTTAGAGGTTCGAAAGATGCTGGGATAAAAATGGCATTTTTTTTTAATGTTTCATGAAGAAAAAAAAAAAATATTGGCTTGTGCCACGTCTTATATGGCCTGAATCAGAAATGGCCAAATGTCAGGAGTTTGCAGCTGTGATACAGGAGTTTCATTTATCATCAAAAGGGGAAACAGCTCCTTCATGCTGAGATCAGAACGGGGCTAACTACACCGTTTCCTCTTCCAGCCTTCGTTAGGGTGTTTCAGTGGCTAGGAGCAATGATTTATTCCATCCCATTACCCAAACCCTGTGGATGTGGATCAAAATGGGGACAGGCCATGTGGCTTTTTGTTGTTGTTGTTGTCCTGCATCAAGCTCAAATGTGTCCTGACCCAGAGTACTGCAGGATAGTCACGGCAATGCTGATAATGACAGGAATTGATCAAAGTAAAGTTTGTAGCTAAGGATTATATACATATATTTATATATACATATGTATAGGTTTTTTTTAAATGACTGATGTATTTGAGAAAATCTGATGGCTTTCCATGGCACGATCCCTTCTTCAGGTCTGAAATAGCGGCACCAGGCTTCAAAGCTATGTGTAGGATGAGAAGAGTCACTCAGAACTTGAGTCAACAGGTCTTGGGTCATTTCCAAGTTAAAACCTAATGGGTATTCATGGGATACGGGCATTGTTAGTCACAGAGCAGGGTAAGAGGTTAGTCATCTGTTGGGGCAAAGAGAAAGCTAATTATTTCTAAAATACATCTATATGCACACATAGAATGTGTAATGAGTATATATGTATGTTGCAGACAGAAAGAAAGATTCTGATACCATGATCTGTAATTATCAATCCCTTATGCATCACCAATCTATACAACACTTTGCATATATAATAACACAGTAAGAAACTTAGTGATCTCTTGATCTACTTTATAGCACTGTTGCTGGTTATGTTTCCAAACTGCTGGATAACCAAAATGTGCCCAGTAGTGCTGAGAAGGATCAGTGCTTTGATACTTGTTATTTAACAACAGTGTTGTCCTGGCTGCCGAGGCTGCCCCAGGCAATGTACCAGCACTCCACCAGTGCCAGCAGAACTGCTCCAATCAAGCACTTGGCCCTTGGCCTGATGGATGTGTCCAGAGGTGCCACCACCCGCTCTCAAACCAGTGCTGCGATGAGTGCACGTTCCATAACGCAACATCACGAGCAGATGAACTGAGGTGTCTTGGGGTCCTGGTGTGGCCACCCAGCTGCCTTGTAGCCTATAACTGTTTGGTGGATCCACCACCCATCTCCCAGCCCCGCTTCCCAACACGAGGTCTATGATTTGGCAAGATAACCTCCGTGTGCCTGGAAGCACACGGGGATGAGGACTCTCTTGCGGTGGTGTGTTGAAATAGCGCTAAGCACCATCGTAGGATGGATGCTGTGCACCAGCTGCATCTCCCTGTGTGCCCGTGGCTGGTAAGGAAGGGGATGGGATGCAAGAGCAGGGCTGGAAAGAGGAGAGCTCAGCCCCTTTTGCACATGCGTTTGCAGGCGCACACATGAGTTTTAGGACAGAGGCTCCGTCACGGGGAGGTGGAGCTGGGGATGGGAGTGCATGTGCGTGTGTGCACAGGGGGCACAGACAGGGAGAAGGTGACTGCGGGAGGGGAGGAGAGAGGGCTACAATTGGTACCAGATGCCCTCAGAAGCTAATGACCTGACAAACGCTGTGCTCATAAAACAAATTCTTTAAAAAGGAAGCAAATGGAAATATAAGCTAGTGAAAGAATTTGCAGCAGCTGCCCTGAAACCATTTCTCACTTCATAAACAGGTCTGCATTGAAAAAACAGCCCCTTTCTTCTTGTTCTCCTTTGTGGTCCCCTCCTGTGCCCACCGGCTCCTTTAGGGTTGTGGCCTGCAGGTTTCCACCGTGTCTTTGGCTCAGTGAACTTGTCCAGAGTCAACAGCACATTGCGTTCCCTTAATGTCCGTGTCGGCAGTGACTTTTTTTTGTGTGTATGTGTCATTTTTGGGATTTCTAGCCATGCATCCTTGGCTGGAGAGATTGAACAAACACAGGAGGCAAAGGCTGCCTCTGGAGCAGGGGGGAGACGTTTGGGTACACCTTTCTCCCTCCCTCCCTCCTCTCCCCGGTGGTCACCTGAAGCTGCAGCACATCTGCCCCTGCTTCAGGCGGGCTGCTGTTGGTTTTTGCACTGCTACCACTCCATAAAAGATAAAGCCTGACTGCCAGATAACCAGGGTTTTTCCTTGTGGGAGCTGTTGTGGCAACCCCGTGTCTTGGCCCCATTCCACCCCAGGAATCTACTGGCTGCATTTCACTGATGGAGACCATAGCCCTTAGGCCAGCACTCCTCTTCTCTGTGGGACTATTTGTGATGGTTAATTAGTCAGTACCAAATGACTGGTCCTTGGTGGGGAGCTGCTGTGGTGAGGAGGGGACTGTTTAATTCCCAGGGATGGGTGACACATTGCCAGCTTTACAGGAACCTCTTGTAAATTGAGGTGGTGCACAGGGGAGGACAATTCCTCCCTTCAGCTGCATCTCACCTTGGTGGCCACAAGTGAGTCTCTAGAGCTGGACAGGTGCATGTTGAGATGGTCTTCATCCCAAAGAGCCTGGCATCAACATTCACAGGCTTGAAATGCTGCATGAGCCTGTGGGAAGACCGAGCTGCTGAAGACCACCAAAGCAGAGTGGGAAGGTGACCAGGATGGGGTGGAGGAGACAGTTGCAATGTGTTCAGCTTCTCCCTCCTGCCCCAGGCTGTGTGGACACAAACTCGGGCAACTCTGCTGCCAGGTCTGGATGCAGACTGCATGTAGTTTGGAGAACAGCTCATGGATGGTTCCCTACTATCTGCAGAGGTTTCTTCCCCAGCTAGACCTTTCCTTGCCGTCAGAGAATGCTCTGTGCATTCTCTGATGTCTAATACAGGGCTTGACATACCTGTCACCCTTCTATCAGCAGAGGCTTTAAAAAGGCCTCTTCATCTTTTCTTCCTGACTATCTGTTGCTGCAAATCTTGTCTTATTCTGTGCTAAGGCTGACTGAAAGGGAAGTGTGGATTCAAAAGTTACCAGGAAGGAGAAACATCCAATGTTACTATCTGGGCTTTGCCACCTTTGGAAAGTGCAAATCTCTTGCTGTCCGCTGTCTGCTCCCACACACTCGTGTCTGAGGCGTGCATGAACGCAGTATGTATGAGGGGACACACGTGAATGGCTCCAATCATGCGTGAGTCTAAGGGCGTACCGCTATGGCACCACAGAGAACAGTTTCAGGAGGTCTCTTGCCACGAGTCCTCTGGTAGCCAGTATGATTTGCACATCTTGGAGATAAGAAACTGTCATGTGGTAGAGATGACCTTGCTGCTGGAGAAGCTTCAAAGCTCTCAGGAAGGTGTTACGATGGCTGTTGTTTATAGCTTTATCCTTTGTGCCTTCAGAAGTGCTGCTCGATAGGACTATCTGATATTAACTTTCCCACTTTGGCCATGGGAGCTGTGGCCATGCTGGGTATGTCATCTGCCTGCCCTCTCCCTATGATCTCTTTTCTCTTGGTCCACATACACCAGGTACCACGAGCCCCTTTGGGACCCAGCTGTGTGCAGGCTCTGTGCAATGCAGTCTGCACACCCTGGGGCAGAGGAGCTGGAGCAACCCCACCAGACAGCACAGATTTTGGAAAGAGGGTTGTTGGGCCATGCCTCCTCTCATCAGCTTGGAAGACCATGATGGTCTGTGGGAAGGTGTGGGCTTGGCCGAGGCCCAGGCAAGGCAGAGCTGGAAAAAGGTACCCTCCTGGTATCATCAGCAGGAGACTTCAAGCCTGGAAGTAGCTGGGACTGAGGGAAAGGTGTGCATCTCTGTAGGCATCTGTGACTCGTTGAGCATCCCATGCAGGTGCCACCCACAGAGAGCCTTTCCTTGCTGCAGAAACCCTGGGACCCACTTGCTGATCCTTTCCCTCTTCTCCTGTATAGCTGTGTCCATGGTGCCTGTGCAGGATCAGGAATCTGCACACAGCCGCTTCTTGCTCATGCTGCCAGCCTCAACTGCACCTCCGACAGCCCAAGGCGCATGGTGTGCACCGTCAGCTGTGAAAATGGCTTCATCCTCCACTCCAGCAGTGGGAAGAGGTTGGGCTCCACACAGGTGAGTGGACCTCGGGGTGGAGGTGACCTTACAGCTTGTTGGCCTGAGTGCTAGTGAAGAAAGGCTTAGCCACCCCAAGGCAGTTGGAGTGACCGCAGGACACCTTGTTCCTCCAGCCCTGACCTTCTCACTGCTCTTCCATCAACCCTCAGCCCAATGGGGAGGCTCTGGTGCTGGACCTCTATTGTTGTGGCTGGTAGTCCTGCTTCGGGAACCCCTATTCTTTTCTCTCTGCAGTCCTCCCACCTCTCCCAGTGCAGTGCTGCCTGGACACCCTGGCTCTGCTGGGCGAAAAGCCACTGCAGGGGATGTCCTAAGCCAGGGTGGAGAGGTAGGAAGAGGGGGAGAGGTGTAGACATTTCTGTTCTCCAGATGCACATTGCTGGGAGGTTTAAACATCCCTGGGATGTTTTCTCTCTTAAAGCTGAAGTTAGTGGCTCAGGAAAAAATGAAGTCATTGCAGAGCAACTATATTTAGAGGCAGCTGACAGCACTGAGAGCTTTTCTTCCTTTGTGTTGCATTGCAATAACACTGCCCATGCCAGCGGGGCAGCGCAGAGGTCACCATAAAAGAGTTCATCCCACTTTCCAGAGGGCTGGGGGATGCCTCATAAAAGCCCCCAGCCAGTAAGGCTTTTAGCTGTTGACCGAGGAGGCCTAGGACTGAAGTGTCCTTGGGAGCTGAGCTACCTCGGGTCAGGACAGTCACGTTGGCAGGGTCATGGGCACAGTGTGTCCCATTTTTGGGCTGTTCCTGGAGGGGGAACAGGAGTCCTCAGGGCTCACCTGGTCCCTGTGCCAGCCCAAGAGAGCATGAGTTCACAAGGAGTGGAGAGAGATGGAGGAAAGTCAGTCTATGTCAGTAGGGTGGACTATTCCTCTCCTTTGAGAGTTGCAAGTGCTCGTGATGCCTGGCAGGCAGATTTCCTGTGCTGCAGCCATTGCTGTTAACCGAAGGAAAGGAGGGTACAGGAGGGTGCAATGAGGCAGCTGGAGATGCACTGCTCAGCCCCTTGTCAGTGGGGAGGTTATTAATTACATGGCCACATGGCTCTCTGTGGGCCAAGGCATGCCCAGGGAAAAGAAAATGTTCCTGTTCTCCTCTGAAACAAAATTGCACAAAATAAATCTGCCTCAGGTCACAGTTTTCCTGTGTTTGGCAGTGAGATGAGAAACTTCTGGACAGAGCTTCGCCATGTGGCTGTCACAGCAGATGGCAGCTCACAGGTGCCCTGCGTTTAGGGTGTTCCTGGTTTGGCTGTGTGACCCCACTCATCTTGAGGCATTCTGGGGAAACGCACACAGCTCTCCCCTGAGCATCCTCTCCCCCTGATTCAGCTACATCATGGTCCTGTGCACCCAAGGGTACCAGACTCTAACTTAGTGACATCCCTCAGAGCCACCATGTCCACCTTCAATCAGAACATGTTGGCTGGGAGGACAGTTTGACTGTATGAGCAGTGTGGCTGTACTCAGCCAGTGAAGGGACATCAGGAACAGTTGAAAGACACCTCTTTGGTCTGTAGCCCCGTCTTAGGGCTGCTGGGCTGGGGTTAGCGGTCTGGGAGCAGAAATCTTAGAACATTTTGGGTTGGAAGGGACCTTCAAAGATATCTGCTCCAACTCTGCCATGGGCAGGGACATCTTTTATTAGACCAGGTTGCTCATGACCCACCATCATCCACCGGTCTTTTTTGATGAAGTCCGTGTCGCATGTTGATCATGTTTAGTGGTGGGATCGCTGGGTGCCAGGTTCTCATGCAGTCCCCCAGGAGCTGTAAATGCGGTTATATGAACCTCTGACTGCAGTGGGGTCTGTGGGCTGAGGCATGAGAGAATTGCTGCATTTGGGGAAAAACAATCAACAGGAGAGCTGCCAGTCAGTGGCTGAAAAATGGCTTGATCTTGTAGGGGAGAAAATTGCAGCGCACAGAGGTGGGAAGCTCAGGAATTTGTAGTGTATCTTGAAGGGATTTTCCTTTTTCCCTTAATGTGCTCTGGCACTGCTCAGACAGCGTCCATACAGTTAATGTCTTTTTGGAGTCACAGACGAAGCATTAGAAGGTCTCTTGTGCAGGTGCCTTGCTTGTTACTCCAAGGGGCAGTCCCTGCTTTCCCACCCCAAACATCACCTGGTGAACAGGTAGGGGTTTCATGACTCAGTGTCCAGAGTGGGGAGAAAGGGCAGGTTAGGGGAGGTAAAATGGGAGAAAGCTCTCCTTGTACTGAAACCTGGGCCAGCCCTTTCTGCTGTGGTGGCAAACCAGTGGATTAAAGCTCGCTCACAGGGGTCTGATGTAGCCTTGCTTTCTCTGCAGCAGGAGGTGGTGTTGACGTGCAGCTCAGGGCAGTGGGACAGATCTGTGACTTGTGACCCTGTCGACTGCAGTGTCCCTGACCAATCCCACGTGTACTACGCCGAGTTCTCCTGCCCCAAGGGGACCACCTACCTGCAGAGATGCTCCTTCTCCTGCATCCACCCGGCCAAGTTGCAAGGTATGGTCCAGAGTGCTGGGAGATTTAACCACCCTTTTTGATGCCACCTTTCTGTGCCTGTCCCAAGCAATTCAAACAGAACTTTAAATTTCCCAGTTATCCTGGCTTCTGCCAGCCAGGTGGGGTCTTGAGAGACCTCTTGAAATGGTGAGCATCCATTCCGCTTGAGCGGAGACACCGTAGTGTGGGGATAACTCCCTCTGACTCCCATTTCCTGGCTGGCAGCCCTTATCCGGCCACCTCAGGGTGTAGGAGTGTCTTCTCCTGGTAGCTGGTGAGGTCCTGTATCCATCAGTATTATGGGGACAAGGAAGGCAAGAAGTGCGCAGGCAGCCAGCAGGGGCCAAGAGGACTTAAAAAAGCCAAAAATGGCTCAGCGCCTGGTGGCTGTGTGAAAGCCTGTGGTTTAGGGGGCCTGGGGCTGTATGAAACCATAGAGACTGATGCCCACAGCTGCAGAGCAGTCTGGGAGATGTTCACCACCCAGATGCACAGCAGTCCCCCAGACATGCCATGGCCTGGCTTTCATTCTGCCGACTCCATCAATAGCCGCAGGAATGTTTTTAAGCCAAGTCGGAGAAAGAGAGCTACTGTTCCTGTCTATACAAGGCTGAGCTGGATGGGATTTCTGGGGTAATTGCCTTGACAGCTTCAAGTATTGGGACTTTATGTGAGTTTCCACCAGTGCCTTTGCTCTGAACAATCACATACAACAAATCATTTTAATGGGTGCCCTATTTTATGGAGACATTTATAGCTGAAACGTATGAAAATAATTTACTTTTTTTTATAAGTTAAATCTAAGGAGCAAAAACTGTAGGGAATTAAGGTCTCATTTCATGATGGGGGATACTGATCAAAGAGTACCATGTGAGCGGCAACTCAGCAGCCCAAATTCCGCACGAACTGATGCCCATTGCCTTGGGTGGGTCAGCTAAGGGCAAGGCTTCGCTCTGATCTTTCACTCACAGCCGCCTCTTGTTCCCGCTGAAGTCAACGGGAGATTTGCCATGGGCTCCCTTGATGGGAAGTCATCCCCTGGATGGAGCGCCCTGGGTGACTTCCAGCAACTGACTTCCAGCCAAGGCTGCCGAGCCACGCGGGCAAACTCGCAGAGGTCCAGCCGACACGGCTGAGCAGGGACGTGCCTGATGCTTGTTCTCCCTGTAGGCTTGCGTCCTTACGGGCAGGCTCTCAAGGCTAATAAATGCTAAGAATAGGCAAGGAGAGGATGACGTGGCTGCATGGTGCTCAGAGGCCGGGGGTGACCCTTGGAAGTGCTGGCCTACCAGGAACACAGGCGCTGCGTGGAGGCATGGTCTTGTCCCTGGTCCAAGAGCAGTTGTAGGCAGAGCAGCGATTCTGTAAAAAGAAAGAGATGCTTGAAAGGAGTGTGGAGCCGTCTGGCCACATGAGGAACCTGCTGATCCAAGCCTCTCAGTAGGAAGAGTCCCATTTACTCCAGTCCAGCTCTTTTCTCTTGCTCAGCGGTTCCCAGTAAACTGCCCATCATCCATGCCATGTGGGTGATGCAGACCTGGACACTCACCAAAGACACCCAGAGCTGTGCAATTTTGGCCACCCATTAGCTGGATCTACCAAACCCCTTTGTCTCTAGAGGGATAACTGAGAGCTGGGCTATCATACTCAAGCCAAGCCTTTAGTAATGTGTGGTTTCAATTCCCAGTCACATCAGTTAAGGCTCCTGCCTCTGTCCTGCTGGCACTTTCCAGCTTGTGATGCACATGTAGCTCGGGGTATGACAGCTTGTAAGGGAAGGTAAGGACAAGCTGCAAAAAGCACCTGAGGGGAATGGAGATGGACTGAGATTGTCCCTTCCCTGCTTCTGTCTGAATTCAAGGAATTTGGTTTCTGCCTTAGCCTGACCAACCATGCAATGGAATCATGGTCTTCATACTTGTTGCCCTTGGCATCACTATCCACTCTAACAAGAGGACTTCTGATTGCTCTGAGCTTCTCTCAGCAGGGCCCCATCCCCGGGTCAACTCTAACCCCAACATACTGCTTCTCTTTCGGGGCCAGGAACAAACCAGTGGCTGACCTGCCTGGAGGACGGTCTCTGGTCGCTCCCTGAAGCCTACTGCAAGCTGGAGTGTGACGCACCTCCCACTGTGGCCAATGCCAAGCTCCTGGTCCCACGGTGCCTGCAGGGGAACCACGACGTGGGCTCAGTCTGTCGCTACAAGTGCAAGCCTGGATACCACGTGGCCGAGAACGCAGCAGGCAAGCCTAAGAAGTAAGTCTGTTATCACCATTTCCTTCCTCCTCTTCTCCCAACATGAGCAAGGAGGAGACATGATGGTAGGTTGGCAGTCTTGAAAAGCTGGTTTGATAGGTACCAGGCAGAGCAGCTTGCTCTGGTCACACAGATTTCTTGAGAGATGAGAGGCTTTCCCCTGATTTAGGTGAAAGCAGGTGGAAACAAGATGCAAGCTGCTGTTGCATGCATACATACATTAAATACCTTAACCTAAAGCATGCAGATTTTCCTGTGCATCTCAACACACTTGTCAGTTGCTGAAAATGAAGCATGTACAGAAGCATTTGTGGACTCCCAGTTAATTAGATGTAATAGGAAGCTGGAAGATTCCTGGAGCTGCTGTCTTTCCTAGAAGTGATAAAACATAGACCAAGGCACTGGGGGGTGTAAGAATGAATGACTGCCTTTTGTCAGAGTTAGCATTTTACCCCCTGCATGTCTTGGCTAAATTTAATCTGGAGCATTGGCATGTCAATTAGAGAAGATTTTTCCCAATGCTTCGGGGAAAAATTCCTGGTGATTCACTATCCCTGTACTCGGCCACTGTCGTGACATTGTGGGGGTAAAGTAGCATTCTGTCTGTGACACCTCCAGCTGAAGTCCCCTCTGGGTACAGTCACTAAAGATTCCCTGGCACTGACTGGGTCCTCCCCAGCATCTTGATGCTAGCCCAAATCAGGTAATTATGTGCTAATTGTTTAATGCCCCCTTCCAGTTCTAATTGAATGCAGACTTCATCTCTACTTTGCTCTGGGGTAGGGTTGTTGTGCACTGGGAAGCAGTTGCCAAATTTCTTGCCTTGTAATGAAGGAAGTGGTTTCTGTAAACAGCTTTTCGCAGTGTTAGGAGTATTTCTTGGGCCAAGGGGAGCTAAGCAAATTATGATTATGGCTACGATCACATGGACTGCTTTGCAAACTCATTCAGCTTGCATGCCTGTGGCATTTCAGGCACTGGACGTGCAATTAGATCAACGCAGCTTGCAAAGTTAGGCCATCTCAGTCATGCTGCGGCAGCTGCTGCTAAGAAGGATGCCCTCTGGGAGTTCCTGAGGCTCCTCTGATGTGTGTGTAACTTCCCAATGGGTCTGAACAGCTTGTGAGACAAGTCAAGGAAAATCATGCCACGTGGTTTATATTTTCATAGCAATGCATGTTGACATAGCATTTTCTCATCTGCTATTATTATTACTAATTGTTCTAACATCTTTGATGGGAGAGTACAATCCTGTTACAGTAAGCAAAACCAAACATTACCAGAAGCAGAAACTTCATTGTTTTCATGCAGATTAACTGCTGTGTGAGTGGCCTGATTCAAAGCAAAAGCCTTTCCTTGGAAGTGTAAATGCCGGTGTACTGTCTCATCTGGAGCTCTGTGTATACTCAGCATGAGTATAAACCCCTTGGCACGTGTAGTGAGTAGCAGCTACTAGCCAGTAAGCGGCCCAGTCAGTTGCTAGATTGCTGGAAATCCTTCTGGTGTTTCAGCCCTAGCAGGCAGAGGATGGGAGCTGCCGGAGTGAGAGGTTGCTTCCTTTGTCCAGACCAGTTTTGGAGAAAAGGAGTTGTTGTTGGAGGTGATGGAGAGCTCTGGAAGGGACCAACACTGGTGGGGTGCAGGTTGCTGATGTGCTGGTGAGGAAGCAGGGTCTTGGGTTTTGGGGTCCTCTGAAGTCTTTCTGGGTTCAGCAAACTGAGTTCTTGATCTATTGTTTCCCTATCGTCCACCAGCCCAGCAAGCACCAGCCTTGCAGAAGGATTTTATGTCACGCAGGTGTTGATGGGCGTAAGAAAGGAAGACTGTTTATGTGTACTAGATATTGGATGAAGGCCAGGCATGATCCACAGCTGACACTGAAGACTCCCCATGCCAGCTAACTAGCCCAACCTTGGAAATAGAGTCAGGCTCCCTTCAAATTATCCTTCTAGCAATCACGCCTTTTTAGAGGGGAATGATGGAAGAGGTATAAGCCCCAGCTGGCCTCACCAATGTCTATGGGGCTCGGACTGTTCTCCAGGGAAGGTGTAGAGGCCTCTTTGGGTGTCTGTAGGTTCCCAAAGGATCAGCCCACTCTGCTACTGTGTGAAAGACATGCTTATCTTCTCAGCTATTTCCTTCAAGGGCTGCTTGTCAGCACCTCCCTTTGGGGATGGCTCTGGATCCCCCATGGACAGGCACAGTTAAGCTGTAAAGTGAGCAAGCAGGAGGCCAACACAGCCAGGGCTTAGCATCACCACCTGATTAGCTGCTTTTTTTGATCAGCCTTCTGCAGTGCATTCCTCTCTCATGCACCTCATAAAGCACCGTGGCTGCTACAGCTGGACTGGGGACCCAACCCCTGGGGCTTCGTACCTCATGTGGTAGGGCTGCAATGGCTGCTGTATGGAGGCCTGAGCCATGACTGGGATCCTGCTGTCTCTCTCCAAGACAAGATGCTCTTGGACACAGATTCTTACTTCTGTTTCCTTAGTTGAATTTTAGTGCAGAAGCAGTAAGGTTACTTAAGGCTTCTGCAGTCTTAGTTGAAATTCATTTCCCATGGCATAAGTGGAAGAGAAAGAGGATGAAGAAATCTGTTGTCTTGGAGAAGATGCTTTTATCTATTAACCTGAGTGAGGAAAGGCCCTTCCGTCTGCCACAGTCTCCCACAGCATCCTCCTGGAAAAGCTAGCATCCTTCGCTGGGTTAAAAACTGGTTAGATGGACAGGTCCAGAGAGTGGTGGTGAATGGTGCTGCATCCAGTTGGCATCCAGTGACCAGTGGTGTCCCCCAGGGATCAGTACTGGGCTCAGTTCTATTCAATATTTTTATTGATGACCTGGATGAGGGGATTGAGTCTACCCTTAGTAAATATGCAGATGACACCAAACTGGAGGGGAGTGTCGATCTGGTGGAGGGTAGGAAGAGGCTGCAGAGGGACCTGAACAGGCTGGGTCAATGGGCAGAGGCCAATGGTATGAAGTTTAACAAGGCCAAGTGCAGGGTCTTAGGCTGCAATAACCCCATGCAGCGCTACAGACTGGGGGAATAGTGGCTGGAGAGCGGCCCAGCAGAGAGGGACCTGGGGGTGCTGGTTGACAATCGACTGAACATGAGCCAGCAGCGTGCCCAGGTGGCCTGGAGGGCAAATGGCATCCTGGCCTGTGTCAGGAGCAGTGTGGCCAGCAGGAGCAGGGATGTCATTCTCCCTTTGTACACAAGCACTGGTGAGGCCTCACCAGTGAACTGTACTGTGTACAGTTCTGGGCCCCTCACTTCAAGAAGGATATTGAGGTGCTGGAGTGGGTCCAGAGGAGAGCAACGAGGCTGGTGAAGGGACTAGAGGTAAAGTCTTATAATGAGAGGCTAAGGGAGCTGGGGTTGTTTAGCCTGGAGAAGAGGAGACTCAGGAGGGACCTTATCACTGTCTACAACTGCCTGAAGGGAGGTTGTAGCCAGGTGGGGGTCAGGCTCTTCTCCCAGGCAACTGGTGGCAAGACAAGAGGGCATGGCCTGAAGCTGTGCCAGAGGAGGTTTAGACTGGTTATTAGAAAGCACTTTTTCACGGAGAGGGTAATCAGGCACTGGAATGCACTGCCCAGGGAGGTGGTGGAGTCACCATCCCTGGAGGTGTTTAAGGAAAGGCTGGATGTGGCACTTAGTGCCATGGTCTAACCGATGTGGTAGTGTTAAGTCATAGACTGGACTTGATGATCTCAGAGGTCTTTTCCAGCCTCAATAATTCTGTGATTCTGAGATACCACTGCTTGTCAACAAGGGATCCTTGAGTAAATGTTGATTGTGTAATCAAGATCCTGCCAGAGATTTGCTGCCTTTCTGCTGGCAAGATCATCTGACTGACGATGCTGACACGAAGGGTAAATCTTCTTTGACTTGTCCTAAAGGAAATCTGTTTTCAGTCCGGAGAGCCACTGGTTTCCAGCTGCCAAGCTATTTCACATCTAACCCCAAAATAATGGTAACAAGGGGAACTTAATGTGTGCATTCATGCTCTGTGATGGGAGGTCTTTGGTTTTAGACTGTGTCTCCCCAATGGCAGCACCAAACCACCCACCTGGATCACACAGAGCAACAAACTGCCAAGGAGCAATGTTTGGCATCACCCAGGGCTGCAGCATTGAAAAGAGCTGGCCTAAACGTCAGAGGTCAGATACTTTGGGGAAAATGGACATCATCCCTGCAGTAGTCCTTGCTGTTGCTTCCACCATGAGGCATTGTCTGAAGCAGCTTTTGAATGGAAATATCTAGGACATCCTTTATAGGAGCACACTTAATGCTGGGGGGATGCTCTCAGTTTGGGTACTGAAGTGGTCAGACCCTGCAGAGGGGTTATTTCACTTGCCCAATGTGGGATGATTCCTTGGAGAGAAGAGATTTCAGGATCTCAAAGCCACCTTTGTGAAGGCTTGACCCCCTTCTTCTACCTGGAAGGAATGAAGCAAAGAACCACCAAGGACCTCGGTCTTTTCAGGCAGATTTGAAAGCCTCAGCCTGCATTTTGACCAGAGATCAAGGGAGCACAGCCCAGCCCCCTGATGAACTTCCATGCACATGTTGTCCCCTCTGCTGCCTCTCCCTCTTCAAAGACCACATTGGGCTGAGAGAGACCATGAAAGAGGGAGAGGAGAGAGAACGTGGAGGAGAAAATGAACTGGCAGACCAGGGGCTGGAAACGCATCAGAAAGATCTCAGCGGGCAAAGCAGGACAGCCAAACCTGGGAGCATCGGAGTTCGCAGGGCACCAGGCCACTGTACATTTGTGGTGGGTGTGAAGGCATGGGGCATGTGCTGCTTCTGCCTACATCTGGTCCCTTCCAGATAAAAGACAAACACCCACGCAGCTGAGGGAGCCAAGCAGCCAGGTAAAGAAAACACAGGCTGTGAACCAGGCTCCTGTGTCACTTCCACCTCTAAGGTCTCTGATGAAGATTTACAGCCCAGGTTTCCCAGGCTCTTAGGAGCACAGCAACGGAGGTCCTACCAAGCTGATGTTACTTTCTTTCAATTTACCAGCAAATCCCCCTGCTTCCCCCGTACTCTTTTTGAAGCTGCCAATCTCCTGCCATGGGAGATGAGGCTTTAGGCTCATTTATCACCATTCCTGTACAGCAGACCCAGTTCCCCCAAGCTGGCCACCCCAGTATACAGCTGGATCCTGGCCAGGCTCTGTGTGCTCAGCTCCCAGAACCGAGCGAGCACTGCTGCCTTCATGTCAGATGCAGCCCACACTGGCCTCGGATGTCTCCCCTGCCTCCTCTAACCATCAGGCATCTGCTTGCCCGGTTGGAGGGGGACTCTTTGACTCTGATTTTCCTGGCTTACTTGTTAATCCTTGAGAAATGCTGCTAACCCAGATCAGAAGAAGTCGGGGGGTCTGGAAATTTCAAGCTGCTATAAGGTTGTGGTTTTTTAATATACATTTTTTTTTAAAGCCTCTCCCTTCCCTTCTCAATGCCTTAATATAAACTGCTCACTTCATATGTGCGGCAGTGGTCCACATGCCACCTTCTACCCTGGGGTCAGCCCAGGCTAGCCTGCTTTGAAGTTCCCCAGCACGGATGCTGGCGGTGGGGTAAGTCTCCAGAGCAATGTGGTTTCTCCCCCCAGCTCTGGGGAGAGGTAGGAGAGGCCGTGCACAGTGCCAGCCCCCCCAGGTCACTGCAGCACCACATCAAGACGAGAAGCCCTGGTGAAGACGATGGGGCTCTCAGCCACAGCGTGCACCTGTGCAAACTGCAGCTCCCGTGGTGTGTCCTGCCCAGCCCCGTCTCTGCTCCACAGGTCTTCCCATGGCTCCTGGGCAAAGGATCTCTGCTGCGATTTGGAGGAGCAACAGGGAGATGCATTAGCTGCATCTGGGATGCTCCTGCTCTGTAAAGGAGTTTGCACAGTGCCTGAGGCATCACTATGGCAATGAGGCATTGCGTCACTGGTTTGCTCCTACCACCGTCATGCCATCAGCTTGACCCCAGGAATTTGCCTCTTTCAAGTTGTACAGCTGGATCACACCCTGTGTGCCAGGCAATTCAGGAAGGGGGAAATGCTGTTTGAGGACCTGGGCATCCAACATAGATCAGTACCTCTTGCTCACCTTTAAAGATGGTCAAAAAGCGTTCAAACCGATGTGGGAGGAGGCAAGATCTGATGGGGACAGTGACCAACATCCCAGTGGAAAGGGTTAGGGTTAGGGGTGGCCTGAAACCACAGATGCTCACAATGGGATCCAGAATTTTTCCTTCTCACCATCCTTCCCTGTTTTGAAAGGTAGTTAGTGGTTGCAGTTCCCTTCAGTCAATTTAAGGCTGCTGCTCTCAGGGTGTCTTTGCAGCACCCTTGAAGCTCGGGTGCTCACACTGCACTCATCCATGCTCCCAGCATGGTCTGGTGGGAAGATTTGTGCAGAGCTCTGTGCCCAGGGACCTGCTTTCCCCCCCCGCCCACCTCCACATTATGTGCTGGAGCCCAAATTCACCATAGAAGGAACCTGCTGTCCCCCTTATACAGTCTTTAGTAAAACAAATTACCAAGTTCTGAAGGGAGAGGCAAATCTCTAAGAGCTGGAAATATTTTAAAATATGAGAATCTTTCAGAAAGTTCTCAGATTTCCCATCCAGGAGTTCACAGAAGAAATGTGATGGGGATGACCAACATCTCCTGCCCCAGATCTTGCTGCTCTGGGCTGTGTGACCCTGCACCGTGTGTAAGGGGGCAGCCGGGTGGCCCCACACAATGTCTGTGCTGCCTCAGGGGTTTCTCTAACCCAGTTAACCCCCCCTTGGCATACCTGCAGCATGCTATAAACCCCTTAACGCGGCGCCTGGAGCCCTGCCTGCTGGCACCGGTGGTGGGAGAGGGCAGGGGCAGGCAACTGGAGCAGGCTGTCTGGTAAAGAAGGACAGGGAGGAGGGGAAACGTCTCATTAAGGACAAGGCAAGCAGCACTGGCTCAGGTAAAGCCCATCAGCGCTGTCAAAACCTGTGTGTTTTGGGGTTATGGTGACATGTCCTCTTCTGGGAGAGCAGTCCCCAGCCAGCCTGACACCTCGTGGGGTTTTGGTGCCTCTGTGTAAAAGATGCAGTGTCTCTGCTGCTGCCAAGGACAGGAGGCTGGAAAGCGGGTGGGCTCCGCTCCTGGACTTTTTCTTCCTTTCTTTTTCATAATTTTTTTGGCAAGTAGCTTGCGCCTGTGCTGTTTTAGCAGGACAGGATGGTATTGGTCTGCTGCGGTATGACAGCCCCTTGGCGAGAGTGGGATTGACAGATCTGGCTGGAGTACAAAGAGGAGCCTCGGGAGCAGCTGGGCGCAGGCCAGCAGGATTTACTGGTGGAGGCTCACTCCATCCAGCAAAATATGTAGCTACTGGCACTGGGACAAAGCAGCCCAGGACCCACAGGGGCTGCAGGGCAGAGAGGAATGGCACCACGAGAGGCAAGGAGCAATGGGGTGGTAAGTGCAAGGAAAAACCAGCCGGTGCTCCTAAATCAGCACGATCCCTCCAATTATGGGAAGGAAAGGTCCTGGTTGAGCATGGGCTTGTGCCTTCAGGAGGACCTGCCTGTGGTGAGGGGTGGGATGGCATGGGAAAGCACCACACAGGGGGTTTGGTTGTGGTCCAGGAGAGGTCTCTAGGCTGCTCCTGCCTCTGTGGGATGCTTGGTACAGCCAAGGTAGGGTTTGTTTGGGGTGCTGCAGCGCAGTCTGGGGTTTGTGTTTTCCCAGGAAGTTCCTGAAGGTCCAGTGTCTGGAGAGTGGGCAGTGGGAAGAGGGGCGCTGCATCCCCGTGGTGTGCGAGCCACCCCCTCCTGTCTTCGAGGGCATGTACAACTGCACCCGGGGCTTTGAGCTGGACAGCCAGTGCGTCCTTAACTGTGAACCGCAGGGACAGCAGGTGAGTGACTTGAGGAGGAAGCAGAGATCGGCCAACGTTGTGCTTCAGAGCACCCGAAAACAGCATCCTGTGGCAGCTTGGCCGTCCCCAGAGCCAAATGCCCTTGTACCACCAAAGA